TCTTCAATCACATAGGCCCAACCCATCCAGAATGGAAAAACTCTTTTGTCCTTTGACCCTTCCCAACAGACGAGTGACCTAGCTAGCTCTCCCTCGACCCTCTCCTTGGACTCGCAATAGAGGCGCAGTCACCGTGCAGCCATAGCTCCTATCATCTCGTCACCACTCACCCTAACCACTGGTCCACCGCCTGAGACCTCGTCGGCGCCGCCGCACCGCCTCCTCTCATCCCATCATCGATCGCCTCCGCCGTAACTGCAACTCCCGTTGCTGCTCCCCAAGGCGTCATCGAAGTCAAGTATCCCCTCTAGCGGGATACTTTCACTCCAACCCGTGCACTTTCCGGCAACCACACCATCGTATTGGTAGGCGGAGTTTTTGAATTGGGTTATTTCAAGACTGGGAAATATGACTCACCGTCGTCGTAGCCGTCACCTACCAGCAGCAGTCACCCGACAGTTCTGCTCAAGCTCAACTCTCCAATTTCGAACGTCGTAGCCCTCAGGTGATGATTGTCGTACGGGTATTTATGGGTAATATGGGTACCCGTTATCCGTCCCATACGGGTAATGGGTACCCGTTACCCATATGTGTTTGGGACATGGGATGGACTTTGGTCTCCAAACGGGATTGGGTACCCGTTTCAAACGGGATGGGTATCCCGTCCCATCCCGTTGCCCACCCCTACTTACATCCATCTATGGCCGCCAACAACTTTGAAATCAAGCCCACTCCCATGACGATGATTCAACAAAATGCCTTATACCACGGGCTTGCACATGAATCACCACGAGAGCATGTCCAAAGGTTTCTTGAGCTAGCGGGAAGTTTGAAGATAAATGGTGTCTCCTTGGAGGCATTACAATTTAGGCTATGCCCCTAGTCTCTTGCGGGGAAAACACTCCGATGGCTCAACAACCGACCGGCTCTATCCATCACCTCTTGGGACGATTTACTCAACAAGTTCATGAACCGATATTGTGCTCCTTCCAAGATGGCCGAGTGGAGGAAGAAGATCACTCACTTCGAGCAAGATGAGGATGAGACGTTGAGGGATGAATGAGAAAGGTTCTCGGACTACTTCCTCCAATGCCCTCACCATGGGTTCAAAGAGAAATTTCGGATAGAAACTTTCTATGGAGGACTCATTCAAGATGGTAAGATCCTTATCGACTCTCTTTATCAAGGGAGGTTGATGAACATGACCCCTCCTCAAGTCACAAAATTGCTTGAAGATATGGCTTTTAAAGGGTATGATTGGGGCTTGACGAGGAGTGGTAAGAGAACCACCGAAAGAGGAGTAAGAAGTGTGGGAGCAAGTGCTCCACTTGAAGCAAAGCTGGACAAGTTGATCGACGTGATCCTTGAGGACAAGAAGCAAGGGAAGAGAGCGGTGATGTCTTGTGATTGGTGTTTGAGCACTAATCATGAAATTGTGGATTGCCTAGCGATGAAGGAGACAAGTACCCCCCGATGAGCAAGTGAACTTTATTGCCAACACTAGAGGGAACAACCCTTATAGCAGCACATACAAACCCGGGTGGCACAATCATCCGAACTTCGCTTGGTCTTCCCCTACAAATCCAATACCTCGTGGTTTCCAAGGTCCAACGGGTAACTATCAACCTCGGCCAACATTCATCCAAAAAAGACCTCAATTCCAGAACTCAAACTTCCAACAACCATATCAAGCACAAAGCGGTCAAGGGTTTCAACAAAAACAACAAGTCGACAAGCTCTATAAACTTGAAGACCTTGTGACCACCTTTGTGAGTACAAGCTCTCAGAATTTCAAGAAGATTGATCAATTCATGGATTTGGCAACATCCAAGTTTACCTCGTTTGAGGCAGGACTCCGAAGCCATCAAGCAAGTCTCCAAAACTTGGAAGTTCAAATTAGCAATCTTGTCGGGATCCTTACTGAGGACCAAAGAGAGCCCTACCCTCTAAAACCATTGCCAACCCCCAAGAATCAAGCTGGGTGCAATGAAATTTTCTTGAGGAGCGGGAAGGTGACCCCGCAGGTCGTTGCCAAAGAAGTGAATGAGAAGGAAGACCCTCTACCCGGGGGTGAAGAAGAGGAAACCTCGGGAGAAAAGAGAGGAGTGGCAAGGAAGGCATCACCGGCGCCACCACCTGTGGCGGAGTACAAGACACCCCTACCTTTTCCCACGAGGGTGCACAAGGAAAGTTTGGAAGCGGAATGTGGAAGCTTCATGAAGATGCTCCGAGAGCTCCACCTCAACATTCCCTTCCTTGAAGCAATGACCCATATGCCAAGGTATGCAAAATACCTCAAGGGGCTTCTCTCTAACAAGTCAAAGTTCGAAGACCTCGCCAATGTCACCCTAGGCGAGGAGTGCTTTGCCTTCATTCTCAACAGGTTGCCCAAGAAGCAACCCGTTCCAGGTAATTTCACTATACCTCTTTGCATCGGTTCTCATCACATAGAAAATTCCTTGGTGGGCTTAAGGGCGAGCATAAATGTGATGCCATATAAGTTTTTTAAGAGGCTAGACATAGGTGAACTAAAGACTACGAGGCTTAGTGTCACATTGGCCGATCGCTATGTCATTAGTCCAAAGGGCATCGTGGAGGACGTGCCAGTACGAGTGGGGAAATCTGTTATCCGGCGAATTTTGTGATCCTGGATATAAGTTAGGATTCTGAGATGCCACTCATATTAGGAAGCCCTTTCCTTGCCACCGCCAAGGCATTAATTGTTGTAAATGAGGCAACTTTGATTTTGAGAGATGGTGAGGAGAGAATGACTCTAGGAATTGATCATCAGCATAGGAGTGAGGAAGTGAAGGAAGTGGAACCGGGTGATATGAATGCAAGTGGAGGGAAGCCTTGCAGGGCGAACCCCACTATTATTATTGGTTCTTGTGATGGTGTGAAGCAGGAAAGCAAGGAGGGCATCTCGCCCAAAGAAGGAAGGAAAGTAGCTTGGAGGGAAAGGATAAGTCGTGCTAATGCCCAGTGGAAGGAAAATGGCAAAGCAAAAGTCATCGGCCATGAAGGCCACCCCATGGAGAGTAAGTTGGGAGGCGACATGTCTCGCCCCGAGATCGTGGCGGATCCATTATCGGTGGCATCACGTTCAAAGGCATGATAGATCTGCAACGTCAAGCTAGTGACGTTAACTTAGCGCTTGTTGGGAGGCAACCCAACGTATGTTTGTTTTCTTTTCCTTATTTTTTATTTGTGTGTCGAGTGAAGAGTCCAAGTGGTCTAGTGGTATCCCAGTGCCAAGTTTTTGAGATTGTATGTTTCGAGTTGTGTCGTGATTGATAGTAGGCACGTGGAATAGGTCGAGTAAAAATTTTCAGAAGTGTGTTGTTTTCAATGACCTGTGTGTCAAACGCGTCCGTGAACCAGAGCGCTTCCCTCATCAAAAGCGGCCTTCGTTGAGATTTTAGGAAGATTTGGGCCAACTTTTTCCGGTGAAGTCGCCGGCGGTGAGACTCCGACAAGAGTTCGGTGAGCTTCCGACGAAGCTCTGGCGACCCTTCTCTAGTCCGTTTTCGGCGTAGTTTTCGCCTTCCTCGCCCTCTCCTCACCTCCCTACCATTCCTACTTGAGTCTGCAAGTTGGTTTTCAGCTCTACCTTATTTAATTTAAGAGGATCATATTAGGTAGTGTAGTGAGGAGAATTTTAGGAAATTGAATGTTGAACTTAGCATTAGGGCGAGGAATTAGGTGAATTAGGATAATTGAATGGTTGAATGATGTTGCTTGAGCTTAGTTGATCCTTGGTGGGCACGTATTGATTCGAATTGCTTTTATTTGTGAAATTTGTCCACAAAGTGCTAATTTTGAATGAATGCGAAATGTTTATGCTTGAGTGGTGGTTGGTAGCCACCATGGCATGATTCGGATTTTAATTTTGTGTGAATAATCCATGAACACCTAGAACCATGCCCCGGTGTGCTTGAGCTTAAATGTTTAAATAGAATGGGTTCGTAGTGGAAATGCAAGTGTGTGTGTGGGGGGGGGGGGGGGGATTCCTTTTTCCTATAATGAGTTGTGATTGACAATTATTTCCATATATGGTGCTTGTTTGTCATTTTTTTTGCAGGATGCTTAACGTGGAGTATGAGTACGTGAGCTACTTGGAGAACCACCCATGGTTCAAGACCAAGTTTGCTTACCAGCGGGATAGCCCGATTGGGCCACATTGGCGACTGAACCTGGACATGTTTAACTTGTTCAGGTGCCGAGCCGCAATGTCAGGGGGGCAACTGTCACGCCCAATGGCGCCAGCTGCTGTCCTTGGATCAGCTCATCTACCACGAGCTCTACGTGGAGTTCTACTCCACTTTCACCCACATCATCTCGACCGGCAAGAAGAGCCAACTATATGTGAAGTTTATGTTGGGAGGTCAGCCACGAGTGCTGACCTACAATGCTTTCGCCCAGGCTATGGGGCTCGACATGGCGTACATGACGATGACAGAGCGACAGTTCAACACAAACTTTCACTACCAGACCGCATTACAGGCCCTCTGTTGCTTCGAGCACGAGCACGACGAGTTTGAGGCTAGCCGCACCAATGCGGTGAAGCTAAGGACCCCATGGAGGATCATTGACACGCCAAAACACAACACCAAACTGCGACCAAGTGTAATCGCAGTCCGGGAATGCAGTAAAGTGACAAGTTCTATTATCAACCTGGGGTCTAGATCTACTGCTTACTCCGTGATTATCTATTATCTAGCCAACTAAGTCAAGTGATTGTTGTTTTAAGCAAAAGCAGTAAGAAAGCAGGAATTGGTTCGGTTTTCTCAAGCAAAGAAGAGTCACTCGGGAATGAGTCCCCCTAGCTCCTTAGTTAGGTCTCAATTGTAATTACACTTGGTTGATTTACTGTTGATTAGACTGCGGAAGATCCGACAGTAGCTTGGAATCTCTTAAGCTGACCAAGCCCTCTCAGTCTAACTACCCGGAAGACGACTAGTCTTCACCGTTATAGAAAGCTGAAGCAATAAGCACAGAACTCCACTACTGGAATTGGATTCCAGTACAAAGCAGTAAATTGGCTAACTCTCGTATAGCCAATCTCCTACTACCGAATGAAGAGGCTCTAACAACCTAATCAGATTCTATCTATCTCAGGTTGCAGCAGAAATCAAGAAAAGCTGATCAGACTTCAATCAATTCAATAAAACATGCATCATTCGATTAAAACCAAACAATATAATCATCCCAAGTCATTACAATCAAATCCCTAACACATGGAACTAGGGTTCTTCATACCCAAGTGAGAGAAGGGTTCTACTCCATAGAGAGAGAGAGAGAGGAAAACAGAATACAAAGCAGTCATACTCATAACAATGGGAAGAATCTGCTCAGGGATGATGATTTCCACTCCTATGACGATCTCCAAGCTCGATTTGATGAAACCCAGCTCCAAGATGGCTTCTAGGATGTGTTCTTCGCACTTTCTCTCTCTAGGGCTCTATTTTTGCTCTAAAAATTCCATTCTCTCACTTGTGGCCCGAAATTGGGTAAAAACCTGAAAATCCCGATCACACGGGCAGGCCACACGGCCGTGTGGCATACCCAGTTGCCCGTGTGAGACACAAAACGCCGCGTTTCCAATAATTGCACTTCAGGCTACCTACACGGCCAGGGACACACGGCCGTGCAGCTCACCCAGCCTGCCCGTGCGAAGCCTCGCATAATCCCACACGGCCACATTGCTCCTTCACACGGCCGTGTGAGATTTATTCCTGCCCGTGTGAAGGCTCGCACAATCCCACACGGCCACATTGATTACTTGCACTGCCGTGTGGGTTTTGTGTGTGCCCGTGTGGCTTCCTCAGCGACTTGCCTCACGTCCGATCTTCGTCTAATCGACCCCGAACTCGCTCCCAAACCTTAATTCACGTACTAGGACCTGAAATATCATAAACAAGCACAACCTAGCGTGAAATCGGCCTAAAACACGAGAATCAACACCTCAAACGGCTCCAGAATAGGGGTAAAAACATGTGCAATTAACCGTTTATCAATCATGCATACGCTCCTGACCAGATCTGTCGTCCCCAGCTCGCAGTCGGGCCATCAGATCACGAACAAAGGATTGTTGGCTCTCTTTTCGATGAGGCATCCAGCAGAGCCGATGCTTGGGGCGAAACAGGGTGGACACTATGCATATGGGGGCATCATCACGAGGATAGCACCATTCGGTGCCGGTCCTTCCACTTCTGGGGTACCCTTCGTGAGGATAGACCTTCTAGAGACCCACGTCGTGGGAGTCACTTCCCGGCTAGACTGGCACATCGGCCTGCTCAAGCGGATCGCTCGTCGTCAGGGCCTCCTTCCAGAGGATGAGTGTGGACCTACGACTCAGTGAGAAGTAGCCAACGAGTGAGACATGTGGCCGAGCCAATTCCTTTCGCCCCACTTCTCCACTTGGAACTCTGAACTTTGTTGTTTTATTTTTGTTTCTTTTATTTAGTATGTGTGAACAACAACTACTATCATATTGTTTTGTGTAATAACCTCACCTCGAGCGAGTATGTGTTGTGTTTGTGTATGTGTTTTTTGCCTTCTCCTTTAAGCTTAGCTCTCCTAACCCGAGAAAAATTCCAACTTTCACTCACAAAGCAAGCGGTAACATCGTTCTACCCCTATCTTACCCCATTGAGGGCAATGTTAAACTTAAGTGTGGGTTGGGGGGGGGGGGGGGGTAGTTTATTCTTATGCTCATGTGGGTGTGATTGATGCTTGGAGCCTTGATGTATACCCAAATTTGAAAATTTTGAGGGCTCAAAGCAATGTTTGCATGATCAATGTGGCCGGTTTGTAGGAGAATATCGTGTTTTATTGGCATTGACCTTGAATTGTTGCATGTGATTGAGTGTATCCTATGATGATGACTGAGAGCTGCATTAGGATAGTGCAAAAGTTTAGTTCTCATGTGTGCAAAATGAATGGATGTCTTGACTCGATTACTTGTTGATTACAATTGCTATGCATTGTGTTTTGTGAAAGTGTAATTGATAATTCGGTGACTAGGTACCCATGTGAGTTTTGAGCCGATAGTTTTCTTATTGTGTGCTTAAATCCCTCTTACCATGGCGAGTAATATCATAGTTGTCACTAGCGAGTATGATGGAGGCACAGGATTATTCCACGCCTAAATGTTGATTGTCCCAAAATGTTTTATCCCCTAGTCAAACCCTTTGAGCCTTGTGCTTTTGGGGGTCGTTCTCATGTTAGGAGCTTTTTGCTTGTGTGCTTGATGGTGTTTGATAAAAAGACCCCCCCCCCATCCTTTCTTCATGTCTATATGTGAGGCTTCCTTGTGTCCCGGAGCTCTCTCTTTTGAGTACCATTGAGGTTCTACATAGGAGGATTGGGTGCGGTTCTTGCTAGGAATGAAAGAGAAAATAGTAGTATTGAAGTGAGTTCTTAAAAGAGAGCATTGGTTGTTAAAAGTAGTGTGGAAAGTGTTTTACTCTCTAGTACCCCTGTCAAAAAGAAAAGAAAAATAAAATAAAGAAAGAGGAAAGTAGAAAGAAAGAGGAAACGAAAAAGTGGTAATAAAATGGGGTCAATAAAGTAGACAATGCCGCAAAAGTATCAAAGAGTATGCTCCAAGTGGGGTTTCTTGGCACTCAAGCCATTGAAACCCCCACATTATTTTAGAACTCCTTTACTACCAAGTCGAAATGTGATAGCAAGAGTAGACCAAGGAAGAGCGCTTAAATGTGATAGCGATAGTTTGGAAGGGAGAAGCAAGGTTTTTGGCCGATGCTAGTGGTCATTGTTTGTATGGGAGGTTCTTAGTCGAAACCATAGAACCTTCGAGTTTAGGGTGAAGATGTAGGACCTCATGATGTATTTGCCACCACCCAAAAAGCCTTTCCACATGTCCAAGAAAATTGCCAGTCATTTGAACTCGTGTCTAAGACCTCCAGACAAGCTAGTGATGACAACCGTCCTGTGAACTCTAACATTTAGAGGTTTCCGCCGTGGTGAAGAGACGATAGGTCCGAGTGTTGATGATTGTGCACATTCTTTGCACCAAAAAGGTCTCGACCCCACTGGTCAAGAGAGTGAGTGATTCATTCTTGCTTTGCATGTCATATCATATCCCTGTGAGGACCTTTGTTGCCCGTTCGTTTGTTCCTTGGACTTGAATGTTATGCTTGGTTAGTTGTGGTTGATAAGTGATCTTGTTGAGACTTGCATTGATTCATGAACAAGGTGAGAACTTTTTGTTTGCCCATTTGGGGTGACCTCGAATGTCGTTTGTGGTGGATGTCGGTATTGCTTGCAACAATCCATGTGTTAATTGCCAATAGCCATTCAGATTTGCCACTTTGTCCCCAAAGAATTTTGTTAGGTTGAGAGATTACGTTGTGTGAAATGGTTTTCTTGGGGAAAAGCAAACATCTAAGTGTGGGGGAGTGATTCGGGCCTAATTATACACTTTTTAACCCCGATTCTCTATGACGTTTGTTGCAATTGAAATCCAAAAAGGTTGGTTTTACGCGAGATTTCTTGTGTTTCAGATCCTAAAAGGTAAAACCAAACCCAGATCGAAAGTTGGAGGAAAAGGAACAAAGACCGGGCAAAGAGGAGGAAACAACTAATGTTCACGGCCTAATGTTGGAGTTCACGGTCTTACAAGGCTGTGAAATGGAGCCACAGCCCGTGAAGCAAAGAGCGACTAGTCAGGGTTTACAGGTTACTGACGGTCAGACTGTTCATGGTCGCTAAGACCGTGAACATAGGCCACATACCGTGAACCCGAGCCAGCACAGCGATGCGTTTTGGTCTCAGCACTGAGATAACGGACACATTTCAATGTTCACGGTCGCGAACTCAGACCGTGAACTGGGCAAGATCTCAATTAAAAGGAGTTGAAAGGAAAAAGGAAAGGGGAGAGAGACCTAGTGTGAGAAACTTATACTTCTTCAGATTTTAGAGTAAGAAAGTGATGAACCAAATAAGAGGAAAAGCTAGGGTTCCATATACAAGAAATGATTTGGGTTTCTTCAGCACAAGGAGCAAGGCTTGCATCTTCGTGATGGTTTTCCTTTCCCTCTTTTGTGGTTCCCTTCTCCTAGCATGGAGTAGTCGCTTCTTTCACTTGGGTGTTTGTAAACCATAGCTACAATTATGTAAACACTTGTATGAATTGAATGGTTTGTGTGTGGTTGTGTTTTAATGTGATTATGGAGGTATTATTCAGATTTGATTGTGTTGTGTGAAAGGCTATCAATCTAATTGTCATTCTAACCTAGCTTAGAGAGGAGACCTCCTTAGGTTAAGAGGCCCCATTGGAGATGGGTGTTCTTGGGCATTTCATGCATCCTAGGCTAGTTTATAGAGGAAACCTCTTTTTTCCAAAGAGGCTCTATTAGAGCTGGGTTTCCTAGGGCATTCAATGCTTCCTAAACTAGTTTAGAGAGAACCCTCCTTCACCTAAGAGGCTCTATTAGAGATGGGTTTCCTTGGGCATTCTATGCCTCATATTCTAGGTTAGTTAAAAGGAAAACCTCCTATTTTGTATTAAGCACTTAGGGTTTGGTTGTGGGTGGCCGTCTGAACTCCAATTCGAGGGTGAGGTCTAACCATTCCTTAGTCGATAGGTTGAGAGGGTCACATTCGTGGCTTGGATCGTATCCCATTCCTCAACCTAGAGTCTAAGAGGGTAGCTTTGGCTGCTTGTTAGACTTCCCTACGGTTTATGACCCCCTAACCACACACGGTCGTTCGAGTCTTCAAGTCGTAATTGTTAGCTAGGGGGAGCAACACCCGAGTGAAGCTTTCTCAACTAGAGTCAAATCCATTTTACCTTTGCAAAGTAATTTAGTTTTAGGGCTTTGTTTTCACCAAAACCAATTTGCTATATAATGTTTCAAACAGTCGAAGTAGCAGTACATGGACCGGTTCGGGTCGATTTTTAAACATACTTGCCCTATATTATACGCATCTAAGGTTTATACTTGGATCTTAGGTGGGATTTTATTGTGATAGTCAGAGTGAGTCAGGAACCTATTACTGTGACTCCATGGTGTTACTTCTGGCTGCTGATGGAGCTTTATGGCTTTGTCAAAGGAAAGGTTGCGGTTTCGGAAGGCATTCCTGGTACACTGCTCGTCCAGGCTTTTTGACTGTCATTTGGAGGGAATGAATTTCCTGTTTGGCACTTCTAGTGACCAGTTGGATAATCCTCGACGCCAAAGCGTTTTGCTTGAGATTGTAGGAGCAAGGATTTTGGCATAGTTGTTTTCAATATTTATAGATATTCGGCCATTTGAGGCTACGTGTTTGTTAATTTTGCAGGTACAACTGCTCATAGGGTTGCCCATTTTGTGGTAAAACTGGCCCTTTCATCAGGAGTTCTTCTATTTGTCGACTACCGCACAACACTATTTTCTGTTTCTGACTCTATACTATCCAGGAATTTACCTGACTACTGTCTATGTTAAAAAAAAAACACTAAAACTGGACTTTTTCTCTACAATACAAAAAATTTATAGACTAGCATACTCATATTATGATTAACCAGAAGAAAATATAATTATATTTTTTTGTGCTAACTACATTAGTTAGAGATATTATTATGAAGTCAAAATATAGGCTTGGTAAATAAAAATGATCACAATCATGTATTCATGTGACGTTATCATATACCATAGAATTACTAATGTATACCAATATATTTAGCAATGTTTCACCATAATACACCACATTTCCATGTGTGTTAGATGTTACTGATGGTCGTGAAAATTTGTTTGTTGTTATTTTAACTAAAGTTTGAACTAAATACACGTATGGTCAATTAACAAAAGAAGTGACATAGAAAATCAGATATATATGTAATGTGTCATCTCTACGATCAAATTCAACATCTCTAACTTATTAAAAAATTTATCATTATGTTTTATTTTTGGACATTGTTTCTTTCTTTTCCATGTCTTTCATACTTATTAAAATCATGTTTTAATGCAATTTTATTTCTTTATTTATTACATAATTTCTTTCCTTTTCAGGGTGCGTTAAGATGCACGACCTTAATAATGCGTTGGATGTAAAATCATAAAATTATACAGATTTTATAATCAAACTCAAGCCATTGAATATATCTAATTACATAATTTTTTAAGGCTTTCATTTTATTAATTAGATAGTACCTTATTCTTAATTTAAATTAAAAAAAGAATACAAAATGAATCATAATTGTGATAAACAAACTGAATATGTTGGTTATATTTTAGAATATTATGTTTCCATTAACGTATGTTTTGATCCAATCTATCATAGTCATTTTGTGTAGTATAATTAATTCAAATTTTATGTGGAAACAAATATGCAATTCGAGTTCAAACAAATGAGATGTACTTAGGGATGGCAATTTCAACCCGCCCCGCGGGTATTACCCGACCTGACCCGCGATGGGGCGGGTATTACCCAACCCGCAGAAGCGTGGGGCGGGGCATGGGTATCTACTTCCGACCCGCCCTGCTCCGCCCCGTTCTAGACTCATTTTATCTCAATTTCTTACAATTTCTATACAAATTTCTCCTATTTTGACTTTTCTTCAACTAGTTAGAGTCGCTCTTTCAACTTGTTAGACTCAATTACCCATTCTATTATCACTATTTTTCATTCTTAAAGTGTTTTACCCTTCGTTTTATTGTAAAAAGTAAAATTTACTTGTATTTTTTTTGAATAACATGAAAGAGTGGGTCGACTCGTCCCGCCCTGTACCCGCGCAGGTTTTACCCGCCTCGCCCCGTAGTAGCGTGGGGCGGGGCATGGGAATTGAGGTACCCTCCCTGCCCCGCCCCATTGCCATCACTAGATGTACTCCACTAAAAGTTGATGAGAGTGGTTATGCATGATGCATAAACTTAGTGCTATGCACTACTCCGATAATTTTCACAAAAAACTACCTTTTTCTCCAACAAACACTGCCCCTTTATGTACAGAGTGGTTATGCATTTGTATGTTTACTGTATATTCAGGTCTCCAAAGTTCAAGAATATATTAAAATTCCATTATCCTCAACTTTTTGCTTATACTTTGTTGAGGTCTGTGAATGATTTTAACAACTCTAGACGTCACATTTTTGTCGCGTACTTCAACTTCCCTCAAGGTTCCATCATTCCCAAATTCATTCACATAACTACATGAGTTGGATTTAAACAATTGACTTGCTACGGATACATCGCGAATTAATTCCAGCTAGAGCCCAAGTTTTTAAACTCTAGTCTGTGCAGTATAGGGCAAGTATGTTTTAACTGTCAATCCCGGGCCAGTACATGTACCCCTACTTCAATCGCTTAGTTTGTTATCTAGCAAATGATTTTGGGTTTAAAACTAAGAAAACTACAAATGAAAACAAGCAAGTAAAGTAAATCGAGGTTGTCCCAATGAGAGAAGAGTTCAGTCGGGTATTGCTCCCCCTACCTTCATATCAAGATCGCCCAAATCGAATGCAAATGTGTACAGGTGTGTTTATACACCGTATGAAGGAGAAACAAGTGAAGTAAACCTCACTCTCTTAATCAATCGGTTAAGGAAAACAATTATACTAGGAACCTTAGCTCTCTCAATCAATAGATAAAGGATTGCTACAATAAACTATGGAGTCTAGTACTCTTAACCTTTCGGCTAAGGATTGCAACAATAAGCCAAGAATCCTAGTTTTCTTAACTGATAAAACTAAGGGTTGCAAGACCAATCCGTCGGAATTTAATCCGAACGGCAAAGTAACACCCAAGTTAAAGTGCTAAATCGAAGTTTGAGGTTTGCCCTAATTTTCCCTAGGTAGGTGCCTCAATTGGCCAAGGAATCCAGCCTATCAAAGCCTCCTAAAACAAGGGGAATTCCCTCTACCTAGGTCAAATTGGCTTAGTAATTAGAAATGAAGAACACAACCCAAACATCATGAAAATACCTTCCCCCTTGAGAGGTAAGAATCTTCAATCCTCTAGCTAAGGGCAAGCCCAATCGCCTTCCTCCTCCTTTGAATGACACTTTCTCTCTCTAGAATAGGAAAAGGAAACCCTAATATCTCACTAGAAACCCTCCTTTATTCTGAAAACTAAAACCCTAGAAAAAGCTCACATTCTTTCTCCTTCAGCTCAACTCCCCTTTTATACCCGGGTCGGGCTCAAATCACGGTCCCAGTTCACGCCCGTGAACTCAAGGTGGGGACCGTGATCTTGGGGCCAAAACACGCCGCTTTACTATGTCACTTCACGATCCGAGGCTGGAGTTCACGGTCTTACGACCATGAACTGGCTTAAGTCCATGAAATTGCAAATGGCTCTGGACCCTACACGCTTCACTTTGGAATTTTCTTCCGTTTTTGCGCTTTTCGACATCCAATCGTCCCCGAAACTCGTCCTTGACCCTCCCACACGTGATAGGACCGAAAATATAGCAAAACAAGCACAACCTAGCGTGAAATAGGTCCAGGTACGGCGATATACTAAACAAAATGTACAAAAGATGAGGGGTAAAATGTGTACAATTAGATCCGAATCACAACCCCATACTTGAACGTTTGCATGTCCCCAAGCAAACCAATTTAAAAAAGGAAATTTTTCAACTTAACAACAATAACTTGGGGACACATCAAATGACCCAAAATAGACGAATCTCAATGGCTATTGGGCATCAACACATGGACTGTTACAAGCAATACCACCATCCACCACAAACGACATTCAAATGCATTAAGAACGTGCAAACGAAAAGGTCTCACTTTGTTCACAAACCAACACATGCCTTGACAAAACCACTCACAAACTGCACTTAACCATGCATAGAGTTCAAGTCGAAGGGATAAACGAATGGGCAACCTAGGTCCTCACTAGGGTATGATATGACATGCAAAACAAGAATGAATCACTCACTCTCTTGACCAGTGGGGTCGAGACCATTTGGTGCAAAACATGTGCACAATCATCAACACTCAGCCCTATCATCTCTTCACCATGGTGGCAACCTCTAAATGCTAGAGTTCACGAGACAGTTGTCCTCACTAGTTTGTCCGGAGGTCTTAGACATGGGTTCAGATGACTAGCAATTGTCTTGGACATGGGAAAAAGGCCTTTTGGGTGGTGGAAAACGCAACATAAGGTCCTACATCTTCACCCTAAAACCGAAGTTCATATGGCTTCAATTAAGAACCTTCCCTACAATCAATGGCCACTAGAATCGGCCAAAAACACGCTTCCCTTCTTCCAAACAATTACCAACCACGAAATTCATTCAAGCACACCTCCTCAGCTAATCTTGTTATCCACATTTCAAGCATAGTAGTGAAGGAGGTCATCTCTTCCTCGACTAATCTTGTTATCCACATTGTAACAATAAGCCAAGAGTCCTAGCTCTCTTAACCAATAAAATTAAGGGTTGCAAGAGCAATCCCTTGGAACTTAATCCGGACGTCACCCAAGTTAAAGTGCTAAATCAAAGTTTGAGGTTTGCCCTAATTTTCCCTAGGTGGGTGACTCAATTGGTCAAGGAATCCAGCCTATCAAAGCCTCCTAACAAAAAGGGGAATTCCCTCTACCATGGTCAAACTGGCATAGTAATGAGAAATGAAGAACACAACCCAAACTTCATGAAAATACCTCAAACTTTGCATTAAACACAAACCCACACACAAAGAGTTCAATTAATACAATCTATCACATATTTCAAGCTAGGGTTCACAACACCCAAGAGAATATGTTACACCCCGCTCTTCCCAAAAGTCAAAATGACTATTATACCCTTGGGGAAATTTGTAAAATTCCACCATAAAATCGATGGGGACTAAAAATGTGAACTCTCGGTCCAAACGAGGTGGAGTTTCGACATAACATGAGGAAGTTATGGACGTTAACTGAGTTTTGGATTAAACTCACACGTAATTGTGAGATTCCCAAAATATCCTCAAATTAATCAAACCCTAAGAACTTTACTCTGCCTCGCCCTAATAGCAATTCGCAGCCTTTACTTTTCCACCCACAAGCAACTTGGCAAAAGCGGCCGCCCCTTCAACTCCAACTCGTCCACCACATCCCTTCTACTAAGAAACCTGCTTGCTTAGGTCGAGATTGTAGCCACCATCCCTTGCTGATTCTCTTCTGATACCTACACGAGGGCGAGTCATTCAGTATCCTTGGCACTCTAACCGACAGGAGGAGACCGCCGGCGCAACCAGGAGCGAGGCCGGGACTTATGCGAGGTCGGAACGATACTGTCTACTATGAGAGTTGCTTCCTCCTCTCTCCTTGTTGTTGCTATCGCCGCCCTACGGTGGCTGGGGATAATCTCCTCGTCATTGTTGGACGATGTGGGTGGACAGGCAGTTTCGCTCGAGAAGTCAAGGAAAAAGCGCCGCGCCATCGGAGAAGGGAGCAAGCTCTTGTCGTGGTAATGGGTATTGTTATCTCCGCTGTGGACTATCGGAAGCTCCCTCCTACTACGAGAGTTTCTTGCTTAAGCAGGAGGCGATGCTCTTACGGGGAATTAAAATCAAAAGCATCTACTCTCTCTACTACGAAAGGTGCTAGCTTAAGCAAGCAGGAGGCTCCTGGGAAATTAGAACCAAAGCGGCGCTACCTACTCCGTCTATTACGAGAGCTTAAGCAAGCCTAGGCTCCTGGGAAATTAAAATCAGAGCGGTGCTAGCGATTTTTCATCTGCTTGCGAAGCCACGCCGTAATCACCCCCACACAGGCAAGCAGGACCATTATTCATTAAGCATGCAGGAGGCCATGATTAAGCAAGCAGGAGGTGTCACTTAACAAAGCATTAGGTGGCTTGATCTCTGCACACGGACGGACGACGAGGGGTTGTTATTGCGAGCGGCGGCCAATAACGACCAAAGCAAGCTGGTCCAACCAAGTACGAGGGTAATATTGGAAGCGAGTATGGAAACTTTGGAACAAAATCATAACCAGTTCTGACGGAAGTAAGGTGAGTGTAAAGGGGGTAAATTCTACGCCTTACGTATTCTTTTAAGTATTATGATTTTAAGTATTTTAGCGAATTGGTTACCGTTGCTTGGTTATGTTTATGATTTATTATTTGTACTTTTCTTGAGCTATGATTTGAGGTGATTTTGTTCCATTTGAGGTGATATGAGGTGATTTTGTGTTATTTACCTTAAAGCGTGATGTTTGAGTTATTGTTAAAGTTTAAGAAACAAGTTCTTTTTAAGAAGTAACTCACCTTCAAGAAGGTGAAGTCGTTTTAAGTGTTTTTAGTCACTAGCGCTAGTCCGTTGCCATTTGAGATTTTCAGATAGAGCAGCAGTTATGCTCTTGAGACTTTTAAGATGAGTAGCAGTTATGCTCTTGAGAATCGTGGTGAAGAGCCACCACGATAAGTTTAAGATGTTAGGGGATGAATCGTTACGACTCCCCTAACTAAGTTTAAGTTTAAGTTTAAGGAAAGCCTTGATGGCTTCTCATACGTATGAGTTGGCAACCGGACTAGCTAGTGAGGGATCCCCGTGTCAGTCAAGAATTTAAGTGGAGATTTGAGTTTTAAGAGTACAGTTTAAAGAGTCAAGATTTTTAATAGTGGAGGTACAAAACAACTTCCACTAAGTGAAGTAAAGTGATCAAGTATTAATAAGATGTTAAACGTAAGGGCGTAGACTGACCCCATCTCACTCACCAGTTTGGCGAGCTAGAGAAGGAGCTAGAGGAGTAGTTAGTGAGCAGCAAGTTCGAGGGCAGACAGCTAGAGAAGGGCAGTGTAAGCGTCACGGAGGATGCCTAGTTAAGATTTTCGGTAGCAGCAACGACAGAGACTACCGGGTTATTTGCATTTTATGATTATGAGTATAGACTGGAGATCAGATTGAGATTTTAAAGTTTGAGTTTAATTTTCCCACATGTTAGGGCTTTCCTTTGAACTACAAGTGTGGGTTTTCAGTATTTTATTTGTGAAAGTTTTTCCCGCTGCAATTTAAGATTTGAGTATTTTATTTATCAAGGGCATTTTAGTAAAAGTAGTACTCGGGCAGGTTAGGGTGTTACAGAATAGGTAGGCTATTTTATACCTAGGCAAAGGAAAACAAGATAAAGGAGAGAAAGAACCATGAAGAGATAACAATCTTCCTTCCTCCTTGATTGAATCTCACTTGAGAGGTAAGAATCTTCACTCCTCTAGCTAAGGGCAAGCCCAATCTCCTTCTTCCTCCTTTGAACATCACTTTCTCTCTCTAGAATACGAAGAGGAAGCCCTAATCTCTCACTAGAAACCCTAATTTATTCTAAAAACTAAAACCCTAATGAAAGCTCCCCCTTCTTTCTCCTTAAGCTCAACTCCCCTTTTATACCCAGGTCGGCTCAAATCACGGTCCCAGTTCACGACCGTGAACTCAAGGCGGGTGTAACACCCTAACCCGGCCGGGTACTACTTTTACTAAAATACCCTTGATAAATCGTAAACCCAAATAAGAACTGAAAAGAGTTGGAAAAATAGCAAAAGCTTTTCATAAAAACTTTAACGTTTGTTGAAGTAAACTGAAATCTCTTAAGAGCAAGCCCTAACACTTGGACAAACCTCAACCATAGCATCTTAATATGAATCTCCAGTCTATACTCATAAATGTAAAGAAATAACTAAAACTCTACTTTGTTATCTGCTCAGATTCGATCTCTGGCACCTTCAGTGACGCTTGTACTATCCTCTTCTTACTAGCTTGCCTCGAACGGTTCCCTCAATCTCGCTGCTATTAGGGTGGGCATCGGTTTGGTTTGAATCAAACCGAAATGGGGCATACCGGGTTTCCGACTTCTCCCTTAGGTCAAACCAAGTTCGAACAGAAATATAATTCGGTTTGGTTTGGCCGGACCGAGTTATATTTCGGTTCAGTTCGGTTCGGTTTTAAGACCCCAACCCAAAATATCATCTATTACCACCAGCGCCGCCTCATTTTATTCATTTCCCCCTTTCATTAGGGTTTTTGGGTTAGGGTCACAAGACAGCTGCCCACAATCCCTCTCTCCAGCTCTGACCTCTCCGCTCTCTCCCTCAATCTCCGACTTCCCTGTCCATTCTCTCCCTCGATCTCCGACTCCCCCAAACCCAACATATCTCCAACTTTGGCCCTCCGCTCTCTCCCTCAATCCCTACCATCGTCATTCGTCACATCTCCCTCTCAACTCGACCATCATCTTCTCTCCCTCTCTCCCAGACTCGCCCAACTCTACCGACGACCATCATCTTATTTCCTTCACTCCCCGATTCTCCAATCTCGATCGTCACCTCCTCTATCTTCAGTGACAAGCTCGACGAGAATCAGATCTCAAAGATCGATAGGGTCGAGAACTAGAATAGGTTGTCGAGCTTCAATCTCCTATGAAATCTAAAACATTCAAGGCCTCCACCACGAGTCTCACCACATGCAACGCCGATATTCTCCTGCCATCGCCATTGGTTTATTCCAGTAGGTCGTGCCGCCTGCATGTGGTTGTTGGTGAAGCGTTTGAAGGGGAGGATGATCGGAGATGGATGCTCAGGTCGCCACTGGATTTGATGAAGCGAAGTCGTAGTTGCAGCCGCGGGGACGCGATGTGAGGTAGGAGGGGAGGCAGGTCAAAGAGGGTTGTGATGTTGTGGGCTGTAGGAGTTAGGTTTTGATTGGGCTAAGTGAGTTAGGTTTCATTTGGGCTTTGGGAGTTAGGATGTTAGGCGTTACATTTGGGCTCAGGGACTTGGGGGAATAGGGATAGTTTTGGGCTTATGTAATATATTTCGGTTTTTCGGTCGGGAATTCGGAACCTCGGTTCGGTTGAAAGAACCCTGGTTCCTGAACTATCCAGATTTGCCTTCCGAATTCCTAACGGAATAGTAGTATTTTGGTTTTGGGTCGGTTCAGGCCGGTTTCGGTTCGGGTCGGTTATGTAAACCCGAATCGGATGTCCACCCCTAGCCGCTATCCATCTGCTCCTCTAGCTAGCTGCTATCGATCTAGTTCTCGCTCATTCCTTTACTAAGGCCTGGTGAGTGAGTTGGGGTCAGTCTACGCCCTTACGTTTTAAACTTTCTAATAATTTTGCACCTCTTCTCAAACACTTAAACTCAAACTGAGGGAAGTTGTTTGTACTTCCATTCTTAAAAATCTTAACTCTTAAAACTGAATGGGAGTAACTGTTACTCTCCATTCTTAAAGCTTAAATCTCAACTTGAACTTCTGACTGACACGGGGATCCCTCACTAGCTAGTCTGGTTGCCAACTCATACGTATGAGAAGCCATCAAGGCTTTTCTGAAACTTAAACTTATCGTGGAAGGCTCTTTTTCCACGATTCTCAAGAGCATAACTCCTGCTCATCTTAAAGATATCAAGAGCATAACTGCTGCTCTGTCTCAAAGAGCTCAAGTGCATAACTGTTGCTCTGTCTCAAAGATCTCAAGTGCATAACTGCTGCTCTATCTGAAAATCTCAAATGGCAACGGACTGGCGCTAGTGGCTAAATACACTTAAAACGACTTCACCTTCTTGAAGGTGAAGTACTTTTTAAAACAAGAGGATTTGTTATCAACTTTAACAATCACTCATAATTAGCATAAAGCTTTTAGTTAAATAACAACTCATACATATACACTCCAAACATAGATCAAACAAATCACATATCATCAATCATAAGCACAATCAAACAAATGACAATCACTTCATCAAAATACTTAAAAGCTCGTAATACTTGAAAGAACATGTAAAGCATAGAATTTACCCACTTTACACTCACCTTACTTCCGTCGGAACTGGGTCTGATTTTGCTCCAAAGTTTCCATACTCGCTTCCAAAACATTATCCTTATTATTGTAATGTCCGCAGTCCATGCAATCTTCCATGATTAAGCATGCAGCTCTCGGGTGTGGAAGCATTTGGGACATCCACACTTCATCCATCCAAGGCAGGGCGGAGATGGCAATACCAACGAGACGATTAAGCAGCTCTCGTAGTGGAGGGAAAAAGCAGCCCGATGATGATTCTCCCAATACATATAAGCAAGCAGCTCTCGTAGTGGAGGGAAAAAGCAGCTCGATGATGATGCTCTCAATACATCAGTCCTCCATCGCAAGCTCATGCCTGCTTCCCCTCATCCATACAAGGCAGAGCGGAGACGGCAATAACAACGAGACGAGCTTGCTTAAGCAAGCAGCTCTCCTAGTGGAGAGAAAAAGCAGCCTGATAGACCATTGATTGCACATGTTTTTACCCCTATTCTTGAGCCATTTGAGATGTTGATTCTCGTGTTTTAAGCCGATTTCACGCTAGGTTGTGTGTTTATGTCATATTTCAGGGCTTGGCGTTGACATCGAGGCAAAGAAACGAGTTTCGGGTCGAAAGGAGGACGTTTGAGTTGAAGTGTGTTGGAGGAGCAAAATACCCAGCCATTAGCAAAAATACCCGGCTGGGTATTAATCTGAGGAGGCCGGGGAAAATCACTTTTGGACGTTTGAGAAATAGAAGGGGGCTCGGGCGTTGAACATAAATCCCCGATCGGGTATTCTTGACCTCGAACGGGGATTAATCCCCTGTCCAAAGCGGTGCATTTCAACAATCCCCGGCCGCCACCTAAAATACCCGACCGGGGATCGCAAATGACAACTTCTTAAGGGAAAAGAAGGGCAAAGTTGAAGGGTTTCGAGTTTTAGAGAGACAAAGCGTATACCTAGAGAGAGAAAGTGAAGAACATGATTCATCAAGCGCCTTAGATCGATCTTCATCACCATTGGAGCCCGGCTTGAGCTTGGAGAAGTGCTGATTGATTGCCACAAGCAGAATCTCATCCTTCACAGTATGGTTTCCGCGTCTGAGCTAGATTTCCCGTCTCTCTCTATGGAGTAACTTTCTCATTCACCTGGGTATGAAGAATCCTAGATTTAGATGTTAAGTCTAATTTTATGAACCCAAGTATGAATCCATTGGTTTGATTATATTCAATTGAGTTTTGATTTGTTGAATGGCATGAATTCTGATCAAATTCCTGTTGTTTCTGCTTTGACCAAGAAAGAGAATATCTACCTAGGTTGATAAAGCACCCTTGATTGAAGGTAGTGAATTGACGACTTTAGTCGAGGAGTCAATCCACTGTCTTGTACCGGAGTTTCTTCGGTAGTGGAGGTTTGGTTCGTTAGGGCCTCAATGTGTTTACTCCGGTGGAGGTTAGTCGCCCGCTGGGGACTCAGATTGAGAGGGCCTGGAGACCTTTAGTCAAGAATGCAGACTACATAAGAACCTCCCACAGTATAACTATTTTTGAATTCAAACTTGGTAAATTACAATCTGGCTTAACTGCAGTCTAGGGGGAACCATATCTGAGTGACCTCTCTCAACTTGAAAACAACCTTTTACTGCTTTGCTTGTTTGGACCTTCACTACACTTCCACTGCTAAATAATAAGAATTCACAGAGTAGTCATCACACTTAGGACCCGGGTTGACATTAAAACCCAAACCCGCTATACTACGCTCTAGTAGGTGGTTACATTTGGCCATTTTCTAGAGTGACGGTAGAAGCGAGTCACAGCCCAATGTTGATGCTCTCAATCCATCAGTCCTCCATCGCCAGCTCATGCCTGCTTCCCCTGGTCCTTCCCCGTCCGCCTGGGCATGACCAGTTACCCGCCAAAGCAAGCAAGCTGCTCTCATAGTAGCATTGTACTGTCTTTGCCAGCGGATCTGTTGATGTCGCCGCTGTTGCTTTGATTTGGGTCTCTCCCTCCTTTTGGACGATGTCGCCGCTTTGCTTTGTTTCTTTCCCGAGAGCAAGTTTCTTTCGGTGAGGGAGTAAATGGCTGCGAGGGTTTAGCTATTGGGGTAAGGCCAAGTGGGGTAGAGTAAGGGTCTAGGGTTTAATTAGTTAGAGGATATTTTGGGAATCACAATTACGTGTGAGTTTAATCTGAAACTCAATTAACGTCAGTAACTTCCTCAATTTATGTCCAAATTTTGACACCGCTAAAACCAACAGTTAACATTTTTAGTCTTCATTGATATTACGGTGGTACTTGACCCAAGAGTATAATAGTCATTTTGACTTTTGGGAAGAGCGAGGTGTAACAGCGGGGACCGTGATCTCGGGCCAAAATGCGCCGCTTTACTAAGTCAGTTCACGGTCTAGGGCTAGAGTTCACCGTCTTACGGCCGTGAACTGGCTTTAGTCCAGTGAAACTGCAAATGGCTCTGGACCCTCCACACATCACGGTCTCGAGCAATTGTCACGGTCGCCACTTTGGATTTTTCTTAGGTTTTTGCGCTTTTCGACCTCCAATAGTCACGAAACTTGTCCTCGATCCTCCCACACGCACTAGGAACTGAAATATAGCAAAACAAGCACAACCTAGTTTGAAATAGGTCGATGGACGGTGATCTACTAAACAAAATGGATAAGAGATGAGGGGTAAAATGTGTACAATTGGATCCGAATCAACAATCTATCTTCTCCAATCAATTTTAAAGAGTAAAACTCCATTGTCTGATCAAAACACATCAATTACTTTATTAGAGTGTCTATCAGTGAACTTAGTCACGTGACTCGACGAGATAGCTCCAGTCTATGTAGTTTTAATGATGATGGACAAAATAGCTACAAGGAGGAACATTACAGTTTTTGCCACTAGAGTTGTATAGTTTGGTGGTGTAGGACTGCAACTACAGCTTGATTAGATGCTCAAGAGATGCAATTATCCGAATCTTTAATTTATCGATTCCATGATTATTTCTTGGTTGTTTAGATACCAAACATGTCTTTCACTTGTGGATCTTTTTTGAGTAAATGTAAATGTAAGTGTTGTGTTGTTGTTATGTAGAAAATGGAAAGCACATCCCTGATAAAATAATTCAACCACTAAAAAATCTCACATTGTGCCACTTGACAGCTTCATCCATTTCTTGCGGTTTTATTGGCATCAAATAGCAAAGTTGCAAAGCATTTTCGTTAGTTTATTAAGATTTGTAATGGTGTCTTCGAGTTTAGTCCTATGGGTAGTAAGATTGGTCGCACCCGTCAGGTGCATGGCCATCATCTGAAGTTGTACCTCAAGAGCGATGTGGATCCGCTCTTGGAGGTACCTGTTCCTGCACCCCTCTGAGTATCCACCATGGGCGTCCAGCTAAAAGACGGTAAAGAAGCACTTGTGGGGAGGCAACCCCACCACGGTTTGCATTTCTTTTTCCCTTTTTCTGTGTTTTTTTGTCGTGTTTGAGTCAGTTGCACGTATGTGTTGAAGTTCGGCCGTCTGTGTTGCCTCGGTTTGGTGTTTTCGTGCAGGGGAGGTCGAAAAATTGATAGAATGAGATTTCTGGCCGAAAAGGGAAAATACCCGGTCGTGGCCAAAAATACCCGATCGGGTATTTTGGCCTCTTGGCGGGGACCCCTTCTGTGTTTCGGGGCGCCAAAAGGGCAAATCCCCGACCTTGACCCAAAAATATCCGACCGGGTATTTTTTGTTCAAGGCCGGGGATTTCCCAAAACGTGGTACGCCACGTTTTCAAAACCCCCGACAGCGCCTAAAAAATACACGACCGGGTATTTTTGAGGCCCGACCGGGAATTTTTGCTATTTAAGCAAACCCCCGGTCGCCCCTCTCTCTCTCCTCTCATATTTTCCAAACCTTCCTCTCTCTTCATCTCATTTTCCTCTCCCCTCTCTTCTGTTTGGTCGCCGCCGGCCGCTCCTCCTCTGCCGCCAACCGTCGTCCCTCTGACGCCGGTCGCCGTCCCTTCGTCGCCGGTCGTTTTCCGGCGACTTTCCGGCCGATTTTCCGGCGAGCTTCCCTGGTCATTTTGGGCTCAGTTTCGTGTCCCTCATCCCTCTCTTCGCGTCTCGTCTACAGTTCTACTTGAGTTTCCGGGTGTGTTTCTTGTTAGTTGTTCTTTTTTTGGAAAATCGAATTGTAGATTTTAGGATCGAGAACTGTGTTTTGCTTGGCATGCTTGAATTAGAATAGGGTGAGGGATGCCTTCAGTATGAATGGCTAATGTGTGTGTGTTGCCCGTTTGATTGAATTGGTTGATTATGCTTGATTCTTGCCTTGATTACGGTTGTGGCGCTTGCGTTTCAACCGTTTGTGCTTAAACTGTTAGCCTAGGTGGTCCTTAAGTGTGGGGAAGTGATGAACCCATACTGTGGTCCTGACGAGAATTTTCTTGGCTCCACCTTTGGTTTGATGATTTTGTAGGATCATGTCACTTGATCGCCCATTCATGCAGGACCTGCGCCTGCACCGGGATTACGCCGACCAGTTCCGCAAGGTCACCCGCGGAGTGCTCCAGCGCCATCACCATCTGGAGTGGGGGGTCTTCGAGCAGCTCCACTGCTTGAACGAGATCTCCACCGCCATCAGCCACCGTGATTGGCGGACGTTGCTGACCATCGACAAGCCCACCTACATAGATCCAGTGTGGGAGTCCTACACCACCTACCACTACCGCTCCAAAGCGGCCCGGGACTCCCTCGCGGTCAACTTCAGGCTAGGTGGCAGGCCACGGCAGCTGACCATTGATGGGCTGGCCTACGCCATGGGGATCCAGTACCACCCCTACTCGCACCACGAGATAGAGATCCCGCACCCGACGGACTGGAACTAGGGCGGGTTCTACCGCCAGATAGCTCGGGGCGACTACAGGGCAGACTACTTTGATGCCGGCCACACATCCGTCCGCACTCTTACGCCGCAGTGGCACGTCCTCAATCTGGTCATCACTCGCTCCATCATCCCCAATGCCACTGGTTCGCATAAGATCCCGAAGCGGGTTCTCTACGCCATGTATTCGATGGGGTACCCGGAACACATGCTGCACTTGGGTTCCTTCGTGGCTACCACCTTCTCTCGTTGCCACGGGAAACCCAACCATCTCTTCTGTGGTCCCCTGATCACCCGACTGGCGCGCCACTTCGATATTGAGCTAGAGGGACTCACGGATGCCTCAGCACGGGGCGACTCCACCCCTCTCAGCAGGGACGTTCTTCACAATGCACTCCTCCTGGCCTTTGATGGCACCCGCTCCTGGGTAGATGGGTTGTCCTTGCCCCCTGAGGAGGATGCAGATCTTGATGAGGATGAGGAGGACGACAACTACTCGGGCGAGGAAGAGGCCGATGATGATGATGATTATGGCGGGGCCATGGATGCTGATGAGCCGGAGCCCCCGCTCTCCCCCCCATGGGACCTTCAGCCACGACGGAGATCCGAGAGAGGCGATCCTCATCCGGTCCTTCTGGTCTGTCGATGGCTTCTGGCCCGTCGATGAATTTCTTCACGGAGCAGTTCCAGCAGATGGCCCGTCTTGTGTTGTTTTTGTTTGATTCGGAGTGCAAACTGTCTTGTGTTTTGGTTTCTTTTCTTTTCCATGGGAACCTCTACATCTTCCAGTGGATGTAGATTGATATCCAGGTTCTACCAATGGGTTTCAGCTTGATGAGCTTGACTCCCGAACCATATTGTACTGCAACCCTCGAAAAAGTACGGGAGGCCGCTTACCATAAAGTTGTCTCCGAGTTGAAGAAAATCTTACATACTTACAATATTTGTCTAAATATTTAGATACATTAAATAAAAAATCAATCAATGATAGATCATGCACAACTGATGAAGTGGCTCTCCTATCAGTCAAGACTTGAATAATAAATAGCAAAAATGAATTGTGATCAATCTTACTACCCATAAAAAGGTAGAAGACCGACATCATTGAATAATGACAGAGCATACAAGAAGAACACAAACAAATGAAGCAGACCGCCCAACAGGCGGACACAAACTAGTTCTACACTATAGTAGTATATTCATTCCACCATGGTATATTTCCATGCCACCATGGTACTACCAAGTATTATCACTATAGTATAGTCTGGTAATATATATATATATATATCAAACAAAGTGAATGTTATTTTGAAGAGCACAATTGATATGATTTTTCTCTACAAAAGATTTGAATTCAGAATTAAAACAAAAGATATATAGTCCGCTTAATTAAATTGGGGTAAAAGTTATGAATTGTTATCCTGCGTTTATTGCAGGTTATGTATAAATTGGTTAATGGTTATTGAGAGGATCCTCTCCCGGTATAAATGTTTGCTTGTCGATGCTAAACGTTGTATTTAAATATGAGTATTTGTCATTTTATATGGAATATTGTATTTTATTAAATATGAAGGCAGACTGAATGTAAATTTTTTCCAAATATATTTATATCTATTTAATTTTTTTCATATTTCTACATATTTTGTTAAACAAACATGATTCCACTGATCGAACATCACACTTCGGTTTGGCAAGGTCGACCAGTACTTTTGCTTCCCCTTCCGGTCTGGTTTGATTTGCCCCCAAAAAGTTCGCTTTAGTTCCTTTCCGTCTACCTCTAGCTGTTTGTTTTTTTTTTTTTTTTTTTTTTTTTGTGAATTTAGATTGTTATTTTAAAACCCTAGACGAGAGAAGTGGAGATTAGAGAAGCGAAGCGAAGAGGATCCGAAGAGAGTACGAAGGTCTGCGTCCTTTCCCCTTATCCGCGACAGTCAATTGACTCATCTTCCCTTTATCTCCCTACTGTTAGATCCATCATCTTCTACAGGATCCTAGATACTCAGTTGCAATTCTGTAGAGGTACCAAATCGTTTCTCCTCTTGGATTTCTTGTTCGATTTTGGGTGTCCGCTACCGCCTTGGTCCGATTGTTGTGGCGTCGGCTGTCGCACTTTGGTTTCATTTCAGTGATTTTTAGGGGTTTTACGCGGTCAGCCTTTTCTCAGGGCAATGGGTGGCCGACGGATGATAGTATTGAAGAAGGTTTAGGTTTTGCTATGGTTTCATGTTTTACCGGCTCTTTTGATTAGGAAAAGACGGATTTGCTAGAGTTTCATACTTTGAACCCGAGAAAGAAAAGTTTAAGAATAGAGAATTTTGGTGTTATGGACTGGTTGTTGCTGCTAGAGTGATAATTTCTTACCCTGTGGCTTTTGTTCGAATGTTGCTTGGTAATGGTTAGTTTGGCTCTCACTGGTGCTATTTTAAGTTTCATTTTCAAAGTCTGTCTTGTTTGGATGTCTGAGAGTTGGCATTGGATGCTAATCAAAGTCTTCTGCTTTCTCCCTTCATTCTGGATACTCCAAACGATTCTTTATGATGCTAATCTTTCATCCTTGATGTGCTGATGGTTCTTGTCGGCTTATAAAACGAAGTTAAAATTGATTCAGGAGTGGAACAATTACTGTGGAAGCTGTTAACAGAGGATGAGCACTCAGGCTCAGGGGCCTAGGGGAATTCACTCCTTGAGGCATGGAAAGAGAAAGCATGTGCCTGACTTGAATGTTGTCCCATGTGAGAACCGGGACCAGGTGGGAACTTCAGCTCAAACTGCAACGAGTCAAGTTCAAGAAGGCCAGCAAGTGCCTTCCGTAGCCCCAACCATTGATGTTGAGGCTCTTGATGATGATGTTATTGAATCCTCACCAGGGGCTTTTGCTGAAGTATGTTTTCTTTGTCTTCCTATTCCAAGGAGGGGCGATATATCTATTTTATTCTCCTTAAAGGTCAAAGTCTGAATGATGTTTTTGTTGTTTGTCTATGATTTTCTAGGCCAAGAACAATGCCCGCAGAACTCGAGCGATGACTGTTTATGATGTGGAGTCAGGTTGCTTTTTATTTCATTTGAACACTTTTTATGTTTTTGTCTTTTAATATCACTCTAGACACCAGTTGTAAGCTGAACTTGGACCTGTTTAGTGTTGTGCCACTAATAAATTAATTGGTTTTGGGGGCTTTATTGTTGGTTCTTGCTTAATAGTCTCTCTTGTTCACCTTCATTGCAGGACAACCAACGACTGTGACACCTTGTATACGAGACAAGCGTAGAAGAGTTCCAATAATTAACTGTGATTTGATTAACTTGGAAAGCAGCGGTTGCTCCACGGTAGTACGCACAGTTTAAATTCATATTCTTCTCGGCTTTTATTCATCTGTCTCTAAAGATTGCTGCTGATGGTTTCCTTGTATTCATATACGTCTCATTTTTCCTTCCAATCCAGAAGGACAAGGTGGAGCCACCTGCAGTGCCAGCGCCACCACCCCCGGAACCAATCTTTAACTGTCCAATCTGTATGGCTCCATTTGTTGAGGAGACATCAACTAAATGTGGACACATATTCTGTAAGAAATGTATCAAGCCTGCCATTGCTCGTCAGCCCAAATGCCCTACTTGTAGGAAAAAAATCACTGCTAAAGATCTTATTCGGGTGTTCCTTCCATCAACCGGTTGATTCTGGTATCTAGATGTGCAATAGCTGTGTAAGTTTCCTTTATTCTCTGGGTCTTGATACTAGCTTCTACAATGTTGATTTTGAAGTTTTTATTTTGAGTTAAAATTCATGTGCTTATGAGTACATAAACAAAAAATTTAGTGGTGGTAAGATGCTAGATGAAATGTTGGAAGTAGGTGTATTGATGCAGAGTTTGTATGGGGCCTTCAAAATGGCAGCAAGTCATGGAAAAGCACATCTGGGTGTCGCGAAGAAATCGATAATTGAACTATGTCATTTCTTGCGATCTTACACTCGCACTTCCGTTATTGAATATAAGTTCGGCGTTATTCCTCATTTAAGTTACTTTATTTCCTTCCATTTGTAACAGGGTTAGTTGAGATAGCTTTGAGATGGATCGGTTGAAGGAGACAACAGCTGTAGCATAGCTGATGCAAATTGTTTTTTTGTTTTCTCTGTTCTAAATTTTGGATTGGTATCAGTACAAGTAGTATATCTAACATGTGAAATTGAACAGGTTTGCCATGTATTCATGAATTGGCGATCTGTTTTTATTCAGTCCTTGAACTTGTGAGCAGCCTATGTTGCCTTGGTGTTTCACCGTTAGGTGGTGTATAGTTATTGGAATTTGGATGGACTGAATGCAGTTTAACCTATTGAAAGGTTCTAGCTTCTATTGGTTTGAGATTAGAATATGCGGGTGCAAATATGGATGCGTTGGGTCGTTTGGATTAGAGATTTCAGGGGTTAATGGTTGGTGACTGAGATTACAAAAAACGTACGACTTTGGTCACTCAAAATATTTAAATTTATTGGTGGTATTAAATATTTGAGATTAGAATATGCGGGTGCAAATATGGATGCGTTGGGGTCGTTTGGATTAGAGATTTCAGGGGTTAATTGCATGGTTGGTTACTGAGATTACAAAAAACGTACGACTTTGGTCACTCAAAATATTTAAATTCATTGGTGGTATTTCAGTTCATTGAAACAGTTTACGTTTGGTCACTCTTTGTCTAACTTCTTTAACTTTTACTGATGTGGCAGTCAATTCTCAAAGTAGACCGTTAATTTAGTGACTTGATAATTAAGAAATAATAAATAAAATAAAATTTATTCTATTTTAATATCCAACTCATTCTTACCGTAAAATAAATAAATAAAATAAAAATTATTATAATTATCGAATAATTTAATCTATGTTAAACCGTATATAAACCCTTTGACCTTCATTTTCCCCTCCAAAACCAAATCCATCCAGAAGGAAAAGACTTCCTCTCTTTTTCACTCCCCCATCCCTCCTAAAGGTTGGGAACAAGACGAATATGCCAAGGAATGGCCATAGGAATGGGCGCATCATGACATCTTACGATGTCTCGCCCGAATGAATTAGTTGGTATGTCATCTTAGCAAGTGATACCTTTTTGTTTTCGGCCATAAAGAGGAAATGAATAATGAGAGGAGCAATAACCCCCTTATCAGTCCAGCAGGGACTCTTTTCCCATGGTTTTCTCTAAAGATGCAATTGACCAACCCGCCATCTCTTTCCTTCAATAATGCCTCCCGTATTCCCGACATGCTAAGGGAAGAGAGAGAGAGAGAGAGAGAGAGAGAGAGAGAGAGAGAGAGAGAGAGAGAGAGAGAGAGAGAGAGAGAGAGAGAGAGAGAGAGAGAGAGAGAGAGAGAGAGAGAGAGAGAGAGAGAGAGAGAGAGAGAGAGAGAGAGAGAGAGAGAGAGAATGTTGCTAATAAGGGAAGAATTATTTTGGAACTTAGACCTGTAAAGGGAATCAGGTCGGTAACAAAAGGTCATCATTCTTTTTAAGTTTAGTCTGCGGGCTAGGTAACATAATGGAAATGTATTGGACTGCTCCGCTCGGGTCGAGGCTGCCACTCGGTCCTAACCCGGCCAGGTACTAATTTTACCAAAATACCCTTAATAAACCGTGAAATAAAATAAAAACTGAAAATACTTAGAAAAATAGCGGAAACATTTCATAAATAACTTTAATAAATACCGAAAACAACTGTCATTACTTAAACACAAAGCTTGACACTTGGACAAACTCAAATCTTAAAATCTCAAAATGATCTCCAGCCTATACTCATAATCATAAACTGAAACAACTAAAAAGTCTCTAATGCTACTGCTTCCTGGAAGCCTTGACAGACATCCTCAGTGGCGCTTGCACTTCCCTCCTCTAGTTGGTTGCCCTCAAACTGCTCCTCTCGAACTCGCTGCTCTCTAACTCCTCTTAGTCCTCTTCAAACTGGTGAGTGAGATGGGGTTAGTCTACGCCCTTACGTTTATTACTTTTAATACTTGACCACTTTGCTTGAAACACTTACTTAAACTTATGGAAGTTGTTTGTACTTCCGACTTTTAAACTTTAACTCTTGAAAACGTATTAGTTCTTCCTTTATCTTATTGTTGGGCCCCTACCTCGACTTAGCTGGCACCACTACTAGCCTTACTTACTATCTTACTTCTTAAACATGACTACCCTCACAATGGGGTGCCCCTCAAATGGGTTTAACCACCGCGGAACGAATCACCATCCGGTAGCACACCTAAACCTAGGCAATGGAGACCGCAGAACTCATCACCATCCGACTCCACGCCTGACCAACTACCGCAGAACGTATCACCATCCGGTAGGGGTCAACTACCGGGGAACTTATCACAGTCCGGTAGGGATCTGTCAAGCTAGTGGCTAGCTAAGAGAGGTTAACTTATTCTTACTCATGACTTTCTCTTACTCTTATCACCATAACTTATTAAGCGGTGAATTATATAAAGCACTCCTTCCTAATGTTGTAAAACATAGACTTAAATTATGAAACGTAGATATTGAAATGCTCAAAACAATAACTCAAGTCGAAGCATGCATAATCAACACAATCATAAATCAAACAGTGCACACACACTTCACGTAAAAGCAAATACTTGAACATGTAAGGCAAATACTTGAAAATACGTAAGGCGTAGAATTTACCCCCTTTACACTCACCTCATTTCATTTGAAACCGACTCTGATTCCGATATATAAATTCCATAACTCGATCCCATAATATTTTCCTCGTTTCCACGATTCTATAAGCGCAGACAGTTCCTCGTTCGGACGTCAAACGAATGAGATAGGAGCAAATTACGAATTCTGTTAGATTCCAAAATACTAGGTACCAAATCTGAACTTATCCCAGTCAACCTATTGACCCTGACCCTTCTGGAAAATTCCGAAATCAATCTCATATCTTTTCAAATTACCCAGTACAGTACCTGATCGTTGACATATCCTTTTCCAAACTTTGGGATATCGGTTCTCCCTCATCCGATGTCCGAATTTGATTTCGTCGACACTGTGACGCTCCTGAGATCGCCCTCTACGCAACCGTATTCACCTTTCGAAGTTTCGTCGAACTCCAAAAATTTCCAGATTCCGTTGATACGCCGACGAAGCTCCGGTGAAGCTCCGACGAGGCATCTACAGACCTCCAAACGCAAATCCGACTCCATGGAACATTTCTAACGTTCTCCCGACCAAAACCCAGTGCCCAGGCTCCTTCCTTTCCCTCTCCTTCTATTCCCTCACTTTCTCCCTTCTTCTTTGAAGTCGAGTCCAAAACAGTGGACGGAGAGGCGACGACGTTGGGAGGGTCCACGTGCGGATGGGTTTCTTGCCGCGAGCTGCTGCTGTGCTTCAAAACTGAGTGATGCCCTCTTCTCTTTTTCCTTTCCTTTTCTTTTCCTTTCACTTCGCTCTCTCTTTCTCTGCTTATCGCGGTTACAGGAGAAGGAATTAAGGGTAGGGTATGAGCTGCCTTGAACCTCTTCTTCTCACCCATGAAAGGGTTTCCACTAAACGATCCTCATAAGAATAATCTCTTCATCCTCCCCGAGACGTATCAAAACCTCGTACTGTCTCCTAGAGTTATTTTCCTAATCATGATTTGAGTATAAACTGGAGATTCTAAAATCATCAAAAGAACTCTGACTCGTTTGACCAAACCTTAAACCTGACAACCCTTTTTCCTTTACTTAAAAAAAATAACTTGAAAACTCATATCGTCACTCCAGTATTCCTTGGAGACCAAGAAATAGCGGAGTGCCGGCTCTGATACCAAAATGTAACACCCTAACCCGACCGGGTACTAATTTTACCAAAATACCCTTAATAAACCGTGAAATAAAATAAAAACTGAAAATACTTAGAAAAATAGCGGAAACATTTCATAAATAACTTTAATAAATACCGAAAACAACTATCATTACTTAAACACAAAGCTTGACACTTGGGCAAACTAAAACCTTAAAATCTCAAAATGATCTCCAGCCTATACTTATAATCATAAAACTGAAACAACTAAAAGGTCTCTAATGCTACTGCTTCCTGAAAGCCTTGACCAGACATCCTCAGTGGCGCTTGTACATCCCTCCTCTAGTTGGCTGCCCTCAAACTGCTCCTCTCGAACTCGCTGCTCTCTAACTCCTCTTAGTCCTCTTCAAACTGGTGAGTGAGATGGGGTCAGTCTACGCCCTTACGTTTATTACTTTTAATACTTGACCACTTTGCTTGAAACACTTACTTAAACTTATGGAAGTTGTTTGTACTTCCGACTTTTAAACTTTAACTCTTGAAAACGTATTAGTTCTTCCTTTATCTTATTGTTGGGCCCCTACCTCGACTTAGCTGGCGCCACTACTAGCCTTACTTACTTTCTTACTTCTTAAACATGACTACCCTCACAATGGGGTGCCCCTCCAATGGGTTTGACCACCGCGGAATGAATCACCATCCGGTGTCAAACTACGGTATGACTACCGCGAAACGTATCACCATCTCGTAGCACTCCTAAATCTAGGCAATGGAGACCGCAGAACTCATTACCATCCGGCTCCACGTCTGACCAACTACAGCGGAACGTATCACCATCCGGTAGGGGTCAACTACCGTGGGACTTATCACCGTCCCGTAGGGATCTGTCTAGCTAGTGGCTAGCTAAGTGAGGTTAACTTATTCTTACTTGTGACTTTCTCTTACTCTTATCACCATAACTTATTAAGCGGTGAATTATATAAAGCACTCCTTCTTAATGTTGTAAAACATAGACTTAAATTATGAAACGTAGATATTGAAATGCTCAAAACAATAACTCAAGTCGAAGCATACATAATCAACACAATCATAAATCAAACAGTGTGCACACACTTCACGTAAAAGCAAATACTTGAACATGTAAGGCAAATACTTGAAAATACGTAACGCGTAGAATTTACCCCCTTTACACTCACTTCATTTCCGTTGAAACCGACTCTGATTCCGATATATAAATTCCATAACTTGATCCCATAATATTCTCCTCGTTTTCACGTTTCTATAGGGGTAGACAGTTCCTTGTTCGGACGTCAAACGAACGAGATAGGAGCAAATTACGAATTTTGTCAGATTCCAAAATACTAGGTACCAAATCTGAACTTATCCCAGTCACCTATTGACCCTGACCCTTTTGGAAAATTATGAAATCAATCCCATATCTTTTCAAATTACCCAGTACAGTACTTGATCATTGACATATCCTTTTCCAAACTTTGGAGACTCGGTTTTCCCTCATCCGACGTCCGAATTTGATTTCAACGACACTGTGACGCTTCTGAGATTGCCCTCTACACAACCGTATTCACCTTTCGAAGTTTCGTCGAACTCCAAAATTTTCCAGATTCTGGTGATACACCGACGAAGCTCCGGCGAATCTCCGACGAGGCTTCTACAGGTCTCCAAACGCAAATCCGACTTCTTAGAACATTTCTTACGTTCTCCCGACCAAAACCCAATGCCCAGACTCCTTCCTTTCCCTCTCCTTCTATTCCCTCACTTTCCCCCTTCTTCTTTGACGTCGAGTCCAAAACAGTGGACGGAGAGGCGATGGCGCGGGGAGGGTCCATGTGCGGATGAGTTTCTTGCTGCGGGCTGCTGCTGTGCTGTGCTTCAAAACTGAGTGATGCCCTCTTCTCCTTTTCCTTTCCTTTTCTTTTCCTTTCACTTCGCTCTCTCTTTCTCTGCTTATCGCGGTTACAGGAGAAGGAATTAAAGGTGGGGGGGGGGGTTATGGGAGGGGATTAATTAAAGTGTAACCAAGTGAGATGGAAGTGGTAATGGTTGTAACGGGTGGGAAATGAATTAATTCCTTTTGTTTTACTTAATTCAAATCAATTAATCCTTGGTTAGGATTAGTCAAGAATTAATTAAAATAAAATTCCCAATTCGAACCGAGTTAATTACTGGTTGAACCTAACCTATAAAATTCGGGATGTTACATTTCCTCCACCCTTATAAAAATTTCGTCCCCGAAATTTGCTTGTACTCATTCTTCCATATTCCTCATTCTTGTACTTCCTTGCCTTTAGAACTTATTCTCGCTATATGAACTTTGATGATGTTGCTTGTCCCGTATAATCTACCTCACTTCTTATATTTCCTCTTTACCATAAAAGGTATTCTCCCAAGCTCGTTTGCAGTTGGACCTTAAATGGAAGTCGAAGTATCACAACTTAGACCTGTAAAGGGAATCAGGTCAATAACAAAAGGTCATCATTCTTTTTAAGTTTAGTCTGCGGGCTAGGTAACATAATGGAAATGTATTGGAATGCTCCGCTCGGGTCGAGGCTGCCACTCGGTCCTAAGACGGATCAAAGAAGAGTGGGGAACCTCAACCTGGCGAACTGAAACATCTTAGTAACCAGAATGACCACTTTCCTTTCGGCACTCGCTTGAAGGAATGGTTGAACCTCAACTGCTAGTACGTGTTTATTATTCGGGGCGTTCCGTCATTGTCGTAGGTCCCTCTCTTTCACCCAAAAGAAGGAACCAACACTCCAGAAACAGAGCAAACAGCAAAATTCAACCTCCAAAGCATGCACCATATTTCTCCCAAGCACCCAAAGCTCAACGCTTCGACAATGGCAAACCACTTCTCGCCTCGCCCAGGAGGAACAGCTCGGCATCATGGTCATGGCGCTCCACTACGTCATCTCAGGCACCACCGATTCAGCTCGAGCTCATGAATTGCTCCAATTACTATTCAATCAAGCTGCAACCAATGCAGTCAAAAGAGCAATTCTACCTATAAGCGGTTTGTTGACCTAGAAGCATAAAGTCCTAAGATTTTAAGTTTTAAAGCGTAGATTTTACTGTAGACACCACATTTTGTCCGGGATAATCGTTTTATTGAAAACACGATTATTGAAAATAATTATTGTAACATCGTACTACGATTATATTTAAAAAGGAAACTGAAGATATTTTAGTTGAGACTAGCAGTTGCAAGTCAATATGAATCAACAATTATCAAATTTGCTCCTAGTCGATTCTAGGGCATAATTAGTTAAGATAGGATCGGTTTAAGTTAAGATTAGCAGTGGCAAATATTAAATATAAATTCTCAATTAGAAGGGAGAAATGACTATAGTGCAAATTTTGTTGCTCGAGTTTGGATTTGGATTGGAATTGGAAATGGGACAAATTGAATAGTGGAATGAGCTTTATTATCAAAAATTCAAAGTTGATACATCGTACAACTTGGGTAATGACCTCTAAATAAAGCAAGAATTAAAATTAATTACAATGACTAATGCTAACTCTGCAAAATTTGGGCCATGCAATTTGATTTGTAAATATACAACTACAAAGAGAGAAATATTTGAGCCTTGAGGCATGAATCTGGTCCACTGGCCCAGCTTTCTCAATCAACGAAGCCCAGATACCTGAAAAAATGAGAAGAGACCAATTAGTCCAATTACAGATCTTTAAGCCCAAAATAGGCTGTCACTCGGCCCAACCCAACAGGGCCAACTCGGCCAACTAGTTCGGTCTAGAGACTAGCCCAACAATCCAACCCAGACCAATTTGGTCTAACAATATCTTATCCAGCCGACCAAGCACACCTTTCAAATTCCAAATAAAGAAATGCTCATTTCAGAGAGCAACACGTGGCGTTGGCTTTGATATTTAAGGAGCTCTTTGGCTCTCGGTTTTGTGGGGACGAGGGGAAGGAAAAGAAACCACTAGAGATAGAAATACATATACAAACAGAAATACATACAATTTCTTCTGTGGAGAAAGGCGCTGAAGATCATACAAGAAAGAGTGGTATTCTCAAATGACACCAGATTAGCTTTTCAACTTCTTTAACTCTTTTCATAATGAAATTTTGCTTTTGTGCTAAGGTTCTTTTGGGTTCAAATTTCATCTCTCGTATTATTCTACTAAACTAGCTAATATGTTCACTCATTTCCCTTTGAAGTGGTTTATGTTTGAGCAATAATTGTTAGTGTCTTCCCTCTACTAGTATTGATTATGCACACTACATAGTAGAGTTTCGTTTAAATTTAGCTACTCGATTTCCATTTTATCTTACTCGCCATCCATTTGTAGTGATTAATCATCTTCCAAGTTTCCATAGATCTACTATTTGCGACATATATGTTCTCTTTTTGCCATGAAACATAGCTAATACGAAACACCATAATCGAAATTCCATATCCATCACACCATAATCAAACATGACAATTACAAAGTCACCAAATTGAGAAGGTCATAGAAATTATCCAAAACCATTTTTACATTTTAAAATCTTATAGATTAGTATAGATTTGGATCCGAAAATCACCATAGCATAATAAACTCCACATTCACAAATCAATTATCAACCATAGTTCAGTAAAATCACAAGCAATAAATGCATTTTAGAGTTCATAATCTACCCAAAATCATGAGCAGTAGCAATGATTTATAGTACCCAGTCTAGCAAACCACAGGCAGAGGCAGTGATTTGCAATCACCAAAACTAACAATTTGGGGTCTGTTAATTAAATTTCCAATTCAGAAAACCTTTCTTTTCTAACTTCAAGAGCATCTAGAGCTAGATCCGAAACCACGGATCAAATCCACCCACATCAAAAATTCCAGAACACACACAACCATTGTTTTTTAGTATTCAGGTTCACAAATCATTTATTCTATAGCTATATGGCCGAGTTTTTTTAGTTTTTTTCTAGCTCAAAACTTCTCAAGAGCAGTAGGAGACCTCACCTATGCCACTCTACTCTCAAATCTACAATAAATCAGGGTAATTAGTCAGGATCGATAATCAGAATCCTTCAAAGACAAAAAAAAAACTCAAAAAAAAAAAAAAAAATACACAGATCACCTCTAAGCCTCTGGCGGTCTCTTTTTCCGCAACCACCGGCCAAAATACCCTCGTCGCCAGCGACTTCTCGTACTCCCGCAACAGATCCGAAGCCCAAATAGAAAATGCCCTGAAATAAAACCCCGAAAAATATTAGAAGACCATCTGATGACTTGATATATACACATGTTTTTATCCACCATTCCTGTACCGTTTGAGTCTCATCTCTCGTGTTTTAGGCCGATTTCACGCTAGGTTGTTCTTGTTTGTGATATTTCAGGTCCTAGTACGTGAAAGAAGGTTTGGGCACGAGTTCGGGGTCGATTGGAGGAAGTTGGGGCGTTTGACGAAAAGCTGGAAAAGCCACACGGGCACGCCTAAAAACCCACACGGCCGTGTGACCTGGACGTGTGGAAAAAAATTGCACGGGCAAGCCACACTGGCCATGCAGGGGACCCCTTATGGCCGTGTGGAAAGTCCAGGGAGCTCACACGGGCACGCCTAAAATCCACACGGTCGTGTGGTTTTGGCCGTGTAGCGTACCTGAAGCCACTTAATTGAAACGCGGCGTTTTGCACACTCACACAGGCACGCGTAAAAATCCACACGGCCGTGTGGTCGGGAATTTCTTGGTTTTAACCCAAATTCGAGCCAAAGGAGAGGGAATCGACTTTTGGGAGCAAAAACAGAGTCTTAGAGAGAGAAAGTGCAAAGAACACCCCCTAAGAGTGGTTTTGGAGCTGGGTTTCATCAATCAAGCTTGGAAATCATCCTTGGAGTGAAGATCATCATCCCAGAGCAGATTCTTCCCATCTTGATGAGTATGAATGCTTTGTCTGCTATTTCTCTCTCTCTCTCTCTCTATGGAGTAGAACTCTCTCTCACTTGGGTATGAAGAACCCTAGTTCCATGTGTTAGGAATCATTGTCGTAACGACTTTTGGATTGTGATATTGCTTGATTATATTCGATTGAAGTGTTTTGATTGAGTCAATTGAACTCTGATAATCTTTTATTGATTTCTGCTGCAACCTGAGATAGATAGAATCTGATTAGGTTGTTAGGGCTTCTTCAACCGGTAGTAGTGATCGATTATACGAGAGTTAGTCGATTCATTGCTTTGTACTGGAATCTAATTCCTGTAGTGGAGTTCTGTGTTCATTGCCTCATCGTTCTATCCCGGTGAAGACTAGTCGTCTGCCGGGTAGTTTGATTGAGAGGGCTTGGTCAGCTTAAGAGATTCCAAGCTACTGGCGGATCTTTCGTAGTATAATCAGCAGTAAAACAACCAAAAGTAATTACAACTGTGACCTAACTAAGGAGCTAGGGGGACTCATTCCCGAGTGACTCTTCCTTTGCTTTAGAAAACCGAATCTTTTCCTGCTTTCTTACTGTTTTAGTTAAAACCACAATCAATCGACTTAGTTGGCTAGATAATAGATATTCACGGAGTAGATCTAGACCCCGGGTTGATAATTAGAACTTGCCACTTTACTGCATTTCCGGACTACGATTACACTTGGTCGTAGTTTGGTGTTGTGTTTTAGTGTGTCAAGTTTTTGGCGCCGTTGCCGGGGAACTCTAGTTTATTGTAGAAACGTGAAAGTTTGTTACTTTAGCATTTACTTTTATGCATCCTCTCTTTTCCACCCTTGCTTTTCACTTGGGTATTTTGTTTTTGTTGGTGCAGATCTGATAAATGGATTCTCAAGGCTTCTCAACAATTGGGGGTATCCACCACCACCCGAGTGGTATTACCCCGAGACTTCATGGAGCACCCAAGGAGGAGAAGACTTTGGAATCGGGTTTCAATACCAAACCCCCTACTACGAAGAACAATCAGATCCTTGGGTATTTCAAGAACAATCTCATTATCAAGAAGAATTCCTCCCACAACTAGAAGGGCCATCAGATCTTGATTTTCCACAGCCTTCACGGGCCATGTGGTAGAGCCATGCTACACTCCACAGCCAGATCCAAACTATCACTTGAGGCTTCTCGTGGAGCAGATTTTCTTGAGTACCTGAGAGATCATTTCCCGAGATGGATCCTCATATCCAGGCCATGGCCCAAACTGACTTCTCCTTTCCACGTGAAACAGAGGATACCCTTTGGAGCATAAAGAAGCACATAGAGGTCATTGAGAAAACTTGTGCACAGTTTTCTCAAGACAGCCTTTATGCTGCCATACAAGTAGATGAGGAGGAAGAAGAAGGAAATCATGAGGATGTTGAGGAGCATACAGAAGTTGTCTCGGAAAGCCCCCATGATAATCATGATCAAGTGTATCCTCAGGTGGTAGATCACAACTGTCCCCATTTCCGCTCTGATATGCTGGGCTCGAGCGAGGAGATGCAAGATGATCTCATTGAAGAAATTACATGGCGACTTGCTCTCCAATCTGTGCTAGAAGAAGAAGAGCGAGAAAGGGTGAGAGAAGAAGTTGTGGAGGACGAGGAAGAGAGCAAAGAAGAGGAAGTTCTTGATTTTTTCCAAGGGGAGAAACCACATTTTGATGAAGGAAGGGGGGTTAAAGAAGAAAGTGGTGTCCAGGTTGAGGATGAAGTTGAGGTGGAAGAGGCATGCACCGGCCATGAGTTACATGTGATATCTCCACCAAACTTCGAGGAGCTGCTTGGCAAGGACCCACTAGCAGTGTCTCTCTGCCAGACCAAGACCACATCAACATCGATCCCTCTTGGTGGATGCGATGGTGGTCAATCGAATATATCTTATCTGGTTTGGGGCAATGAGACAAGAGCAGACACGAAGGAGAGGTCTCGAGAGTGGAGACTTCATCTTCCTCAAGGCCACAAGCCATCTTCATCACCTAGCACATCACATGCTCGTGACTTGAGACTCCACATCATCGACGAGAACCTCAACTTCAAGGAGGTTCTGGGGTGGACCGAAACTTAGGAGCCACCGTCTAGCTAAAGACGTAAAAGAAGCGCTTGTGGGGAGGCGACCCCACCAAGGTTTGTTTTTCGGTTTGTCCACTTGGAACTATGGTTTCTATCACCCAATGTGTTTTGATGACTCTAGACCTATTGACTGGTCCCATTTCCAGTCCCCCGGCAGTCCATATTCCAGATAACATCATTCCCCCTTATATTTCCCTTGCTCCATTGAGGGCAATGTCGTGCTTAAGTGTGTGTGTAGGGGGGGGGGGGGTTATCTATTTTTGACTGCTAGATGAGTTTGTATGTTTGGAGCCTAGTCCACTGTCCAATTTGATGAATTGAGGGTTCCAAGTATTGTTCTCTTCAAAATCCTGCTCAGTATGCTTTGAATTGACAGTCTCTATGGTGATATGCAACCTAGGGAGGTAGTTGTAGCACTATGGAGAATGTTGAAGTATAAGATTTTTCCTATCGGTCTCTCTGCTGTGCCGGTTGATTTTGTGAACTAGTGGATTTAAGACCGTTGATTCATGTGGTATTGATGACTCCTCTTATGTTGTGTTGTGGGCTCGTGTATCGAAAAAGGAAGCTCAAGTGTGAAATGAAAAAGCAGTTGGTCCTCCATGTCAAAATTTTGAAATTCTAAGACCTGGGGTAAGCCCAACGTGTGTGGCACCGTTCATTGCACAAAATCGAATTTTGGAAGAGATTTTAGTGATCCTTGGTGGGGTAGGCCTACAAGGTGAAGCTAATTTGTCTCTAGTACAAGTAAAATTTCCACCCAATGAACAGTTGGCCTACTTGAGGATGTGTTTTTAAGGGCACAGATAGAGCTTCCGACCCCCCTTAATTTCATTGACACTCCACACGAAGTGAGGAGTAGGAGTTAAAAGAAGTATTCTGGCGAGTGACATATGTACAGAAATTGCTCTTGCTCACCTAATAAGGGCAGAACGCGCATACAAACTGTAGTTGGAACCCCAGCAAAGAAAAAAAAACAAATAGTAAGAAGAAGGGGTTCCAACAAGTGAAATGAAATGAAAGAGCACCGATACAATGAGTCCTTCGTTGTTGAATTGAGTGAGTCTCCTTATCCATGAATTGACTGTCTTAGTTCCACTGCTTCTCATGATACTGGCTTGAGTCTAGTACTCGCATTGAGAGAGATAGGAGGCGTCTTAGAAGACCAGTTGACCTCGTAAGTTGCTAAATGATCTAGAAAATCCTCTGCCGACGATTGGGGTTGCATGTTGCTATAGAGGTCTGGAGAGTTGTATTGGTTTGAGTCAGGTTTGCTTGGAGACAAGCAAACGATTAAGTGTGGGGGAATTTGATGACTTGATATATACACATGTTTTTATCCACCATTCCTGTACCGTTTGAGTCTCATCTCTCGTGTTTTAGGCTGATTTCACGCTAGGTTGTTCTTGTTTGTGATATTTCAGGTCCTAGTACGTGGAAGAAGGTTTGGGCACGAGTTCGGGGTCGATTGACTAAGTTGGGGCGTTTGACGAAAAGCTGGAAAAGCCACACGGGCACGCCTAAAAACCCACACGGCCGTGTGACTTGGCCGTGTGGCACCAAATTGCACGGGCAAGCCACACTGGCCGTGCAGGGGACCCCTTGTGGACGTGTGGAAAGTCTAGGGAGCTCACACGGGCACGCCTAAAATCCACATGGCCGTGTGGTTTTGGCCGTGTAGCGTACCTGAAGCCACTTAATTGAAATGCAGCGTTTTTCACACTCACACGGGCACGCCTAAAAATCCGCACGGCCGTGTGGTCGGAAATTTCTGGGTTTTAACCCAAATTCGAGCCAAAGGAGAGGGAATGGACTTTTGGGAGCAAAAACAGAGCCCTAGAGAGAGAAAGTGCAAAGAACACCCCATAAGAGTGGTTTTGGAGCTGGGTTTCATCAATCAAGCTTGGAAATCATCCTTGGAGTGAAGATTATCATCCCAGAGCAAATTCTTCCCATCTTGATGAGTATGACTGCTTTGTCTGCTGTTTTTCTCTCTATCTCTATGGAGTAGAACTTTCTCTCACTTGGGTATGAAGAACCCTAGTTTAATGTGTTAGGAATCATTGTTGTAATGACTTTTGGATTGTGATATTTCTTGATTATAATCGATTGAAGTGTTTTGATTGAGTCAATTGAAGTCTGATCATCTTTTATTGATTTATGCTGCAACCTGAGATATATAGAATCTGATTAGGTTGTAGTCGATTCACTACTTTGTACGGGAATCTAATTCCAGAAGCGGAGTCTGTGTTCATTGCCTCAGCGTTCTATCCCGGTGAAGACTAGTCGTCTGCCGGGTAGTTTGAATGAGAAGGCTTGGTTAGATTAAGAGATTCCAAGCTACTGGCGGATCTTCCGCAGTATAATCAGCAGTAAAACAACCAATAGTAATTACAACTGTGACCTAACTAAGGAGATAGGGGGCCTCATTCCCGAGTGACTCTTCCTTTGCTTTAGAAAACCAAATCTTTTCTTGCTTTCTTACTGCTTTTAGTTAAAACTACAATCAATCGACTTAGTTGCTAGATAATAGATATTCATGGAGTAGGCAGTAGATCTAGACCCCGGGTTGATAATTAGAACTTGCCACTTTACTGCATTTCCGGACTGCGATTACACTTGGTCGCAGTTTAGTGTTGTGTTTTAGCGTGTCACCATATCTTCAAGAAAAAACGAAAAAACAACATAAAGATGAATCTTACCTAAATCGAAGCCTCCCTAATTGATTAGAAGTTCTTTGGTCAGGTTTTTGTGGTCAACGACGGCATCTCTGCCTTTTGCTGCTATCGGCGGCGCCGGCGTGGACCACTGCCTGTCTTCTCCTCCCCTCGCACAAATCAAAACCCAGAAAGAAGATATCAAAATCCGAATCTAAAATCCAAAAAAAATCAAACGAAAACACACATGCAGGCCGGATTTTACCCATATCGTAGCCTTCCCGGTCAGATTAGCTTGATCCGAGCCGTTTCCTTGGCTAGCCGAGAAAGGAGAGCAAGTGAAGGATTTTGGTGTTTGGCAAAGGGTTATGGTTTTGGGTTTTCCTTTTGTTCTTTGCGAAAGGACAAGAATGAGAAGAAGATGGAGACGGTTTGTAGTTTTGCTTCTCTGGAAGAGAAGAAGAGAGGCGAGAGTGAGAGGAGAGAGGGGAGAAGAGAGGTGGCGGGGATTGTGGGATGAGAAATCAAAGGGTTTCTGTTTTGGGGAAGCAAAAACGAGTGAGAGGGGCGAGAGAGTAGGCTAGCGGCGGTCAAATTAGAGAAGATTAGGGTTTCATTTCTCGTTTAAGACATTTATATATGTTTCCAAATGTCCAAATTGCTCCTAGGGTTTCACTGATATTACACACCCATGCCACCGCGTTTTTGGTCATTTACCAAAATGCCCTTCCCCCATCTCTGCATTAAAAAACAAAAACACCAAACTCAGTGTCTTCCGAGATTCGAACTTGGGTCTTCGAGCATATGTGTCTGACGCCTTAACCGGTTGGACTGCTGGGCCCTCATGCAAAAGTGTAGTCATCTCATTCATATTTATTTGTTTTAAAATTCTTAATACGAAATGTTGAATGCGGATTAAGTTTATCTCGTTTCTTTTCCAATGCGTCAAAATATTTCCTAGTAACTTAAACTCTTATATACTATTTTTATAATTTCATAATAATCAATTTAAATTTTATTAACGAAAATTATAATATGAGAATTACGTTCAGTGGGACGTGGTAAAATTTATAATTAAAACGATCAAAGTTCCTAACGAACTACGTGGACTTTGATCCCATGTTATGGGTAGGTAGGCAGCCGAAAGGTTCGAGTCCAACTAACTAATCAATTTTATCTTCAATTTTTACGTCAGTGGGCGTATAATTTAATTACAACTAATACGATTTAAATTCTTTAGTGGTCCAGTAAGGCCCTAAAAATACCTAAAATACCTAGTAATAAACTAATACGTCAATGGATGTTTAGCTAAATTATACCCATTGAAATAGCAATATAGTAATGGTCCATTGGGATTTTAAAAATATATAATTACTAAAATACACCCAACTCATACAAAAACTTATAACCTTAAGTAGTACCGATTTAGGGCGTTGTGGGGATGTTGCTTAACTTCCCCACACGTAACCGTACTCTCGAACCCATATCTTTTAACCGCAGACTATGTCTCGGTGCTGACCCTAAGGTTAGAGCTGACCGAAGAGTGTTCGATCCACTCCAAGTAAGATCGATGGCGACTCCCAAAAAAGCCAACGCGACCACACGCGGACTCCCGGAGGGACGGTTGCGACATTTGACTACACTTGTAAATGAAAATCACGATTCTACCTAGAAGCATTTTGGTGACCTAAAAGGGTAAAAGCATAAGCTTTTAAGTTTTCAAGCATGAATTTGACTGCATTGGCTGCAGCGCCGATGCGGGTTCCCCAACAACTCCCTTCCGCAAGCTTAGCTTCGGCCGTACTGCCGCTGTCGGATCTCGACCCGTGTAACGTGTGACGGATAGACGGCTGATTGGTGTGCAAGCTTTTCCTGCCAAACCAAGAGGATGAAAATGGCTGCAACAAGAACAAGAAGAGGAAGTCAGCAGCAACGCCCCGGAAGCAGAGGGGGAAGAAGAATGGGTACAGAGGAGTGAGGCAACGGCCGTGGGGAAAATGGGCGGCGGAAGAGGGGCAAGGACATGGCGCGGAGCTAGAGATGCGGAATTTGAGCTAGCTTGGTTATGGGGAAGGAGGATCTACCGCCGCTGCTAGGCTGGCTTGGGAGCTCCAACGAGGAGGAAGTGCCCCTTTCAATTTGATAATTATAATAATTTTTATTTTATTTATTTATTTTATGGTAAAAATGAATTGGACATTAAAATAGATTAAATTTTATATTATTTATTATTTCTTAATTGCCACGTCACTAAGTTAACGGTCAACTTTGAGAGTTGACTGCGACATTAGCCAAAGTAAACGGAGTTGGACGGAGAGTGACCAAACATGAATGGTTTTAGTAAACTAAAGTACCACCAATGGATTTAAATATTTTGAGTGACCAAACTTGAACGTTTTTTTTTTGTAATCTCAGTGACCAACCATGCAATTAACCCGAGATTTCAGTGAGGGATTTGTGCACAATCTCTCATTCTATAGGATTTTAATAGAATAATTCGTTTGGAAGAACGAGAGATTGTAGACATGAGAGATTTTAAAATTCCTCAAATGCAGGTTTTAGAAATAGTTGATGGCCATAAGCTATTTCGAAATACATCATTTCATCTTTATTTTTGGTGATTTACCACTATTTTATTTTTCTTCTTCGTCCTTCATTATCAAAACTGAAAAAGAAACCAATCCAAACCTAACCCCAACTTCCCAGTCGTCATCTTCCTACTTCCTCTCCCACCCCTCCGTCGCTCTTCCCAACCCCCATTGCGAGCCATGCTCACCCAAATTCATCGGTGGTTTCAGAATAATGACGGCGACAATTAGCGGGAGCTGGTGCTTTCAGAAGTATGAAGGAGGCAGTCAATCTTCCTCCTCAAGCCCGATCTCAGAAGAGTGGCGACATCATCGATGATGGGTAATCGAATTTTCTGCCATCCTCTCTCCAACAAGAACCAGCGAGCAATGCTTCTCCCACCTCCTTTCTGGATTCTCAGGCGCTCTCTCGACGTCGCTGCTGCTCATGTCGTCGCTGAGATAGCAGCGGAAGAGGGGAAGAATGGCAAGGTCGAGTGCTAACAAGAATAAGAGGGGAATCAAGATTGTTCATGGCCACAACAGGTTGCAAACGGAGGGAGGAGATCTAATTGGGTTATGCTTAGGAATCGACGAAGATTCAAGTTGCTGTTGGTTGAAGAAGAAGACAATTTTTGGGCTTCTTCATGGAGGAACACATGAGGGAAAAACTGTATTTCTGCTTTCTCTATTAAAATTCCTTGTTAGTTTCCAAACGAGTTAATTTTAACAAATCCCGCATATAAATTTCCTGGTATTCTAAATAAGAGATATAGAGTCAAATCTCTCACAAATCTCTCAAAGTAAAAACCTCATCCAAACCACCCCGTAATGTGAATTGCTGATGCAAAGTTACAATTTCAATATGGTACACCAACTTCCGAACTTGCAGCAGGTGTGTATCTCCAATTTGGAGGGAAAATCACCTGCAATACCTGTTGAACATACATTGGAAAAATATGTGGTCTCCGGATTGAGAACAAGACTTTCAAAGGGGCAACATGTGTTAACCCGGGTTCCCACTTACAAATTTTGTCTAACGTGTTTATCCTGTCCAACATTGTCAACACTAGATAATTAGTCCACGCATTTGTTATCTCGTATTGTTTTGTTCTTGCATTTAGTAGGAGCTGTTGGAAGATGAATTTATGAAAAGCAATAGTGAAATTATGATAGCTAGAAGTGAAAATCGGTACAATGTTGTTATTCCAGTAATAACTAAATTCCAAATGCCAAATATACCCTAAATCCAATCCAATCCAATCCAATCCAATCCAATCCCAAATCCAATCCCTTTCGCTCAGATTTTATTAATCACCTACTATACTAGGGCTGCAAATGAGCCAAACTGCTCGCGAGCAACTCGGCGTCCGAATCGGAAAAAACTCGTTCGACACTCGACTCGTTGTTTAACAAGCTAGCTCGCGAGCCGGCTCGTTAGTAAACGAGCCAAGCTTGAGCTAGGCCATGCTCGGCTTGATAAGCTCGTGAGCTAGCTTGACTCGGTGGCTTGTTGAGCTAAGCTCGTGAGCTGGCTTGTTTAAAGCTTGTGGAAGGATTAATTACTCTTCTGAACATGAAAATTATCTTTTTAATAATGATGTGTATGGAAGTTAGATGTTATTTTTAGTTTCTAGTGTTCTTTTTATTATTTTTAATTTCTAATGTTCTTATTTGTACACATTTTTCAGCAAGAATGGTTTCAAATCGAGCTTATCTTGAGCCGAGCTTGTACTCAGCTTGACAAGCTGTGTTAATGAGCATTTACCAAGCTCTATCGAGCCGAGCTCGAGCTGGATTATTTTTAATCGAGTCGAGCTCGAGCTCGAGATGGATAATCAAAATTCGAGTTCGAGCCGAGCTCGAGCTAAAAAATTTATAAACAAGCAGAGCTCAAGCTAAGCAAAAACTCGACTCGACTCGGCTCGTTTGCAGCCCTAATAATAAGACTATTATGAACTAATTACCCCGTCTAGGGGATTTTCAAACGAATTAATGTAATATCAAAATTATTAAAACAAAAATATTTTTCCTCTCTAATTGCACACATTTTATCCATGTTTCCCTTGGGAGTTTGTGGCATTTGAACTCCTAAAAGTGTGGTTTTACACTAGGTTTTGTATGTTTTAGTGTGTTTCAGGATCTAACAGGTGAAACCAGCCCCGTAGTCGAAAGTTGGAAGAAAATGAGCAAAGACCGGGCAAAGAGGGTGATTCAGACCATGTTTACGGTTTCCATTGGAGTTCGAGGTCTCCTATGGCCGTGAACTGAAGCCATAAACCGAAGCGCCCAGGGAAAATTCTGAAGTTACTGACGCAAGGCGAGTTCACGGCCAACAAGATCGTGAACTTTGAGTGCAAACCGTGAACTCATGTGAGTGAAGCGGTGCGTTTAGACACAGCGCTCCGAGTTCACAGACGCGTTGAAGAATTCACGGCCGTGAACTAAGGCTGTGAACTAAGCCTGATCCCAGTGGTGAATTGGGAAGAATCTCCTCAAGAGAAGACCAACACAAGATCAAAGGAGAGTGGATGCATCTCTGACTCGCTCGAATCTACACTACAATTAAACCACAGTTAGAGCCCAAGTTTTTAAACTCTAATCGGGTGTAGTATAGGGAAAGTATCTATATATCGACCCGGGCCGGTCCGTCTACCCCTACTTCGGTTGTTAAAATCATTATCTAGCGATAAACTTTGGTTTAAAGGTTTGCCAATTGAAATGAAAGAAAGCAAAAGTAATTTGCTTTGAAAACTCTTTTGTGGGAAAGCCACTTGGGTTTCGCTTCCCCCTAAACCGCTACCATGCTACGTGGGTTGGAACGATTGCCTTGGGCACGCTAATTGTGAACCGCAGAGGAAAGCGTATGCGGTCGGGGACCACAATCTCGATTGCTAAACAGAGGTGAGGATGAAAGGTCGTGTCACTCGACCCTCTCGGTTTAGACAATCGGTAATCGGCTTACTTCCTCACTCAACTCTAAGGTCGGACGGTTTAACCACGATTAATCAACTTGTTCAATTCAATATTGAGGTTTGTCCTAACTCAACCTAGTTTAGGTGGCTTGGAAAGCTGAAGGAAACCAACTCGGTTGAGTCTCCCTTCAAGGGAGATTTTCCTCTCTAAACTAGGCTAAGTTGGCAAATTAGATTACTAGCACCCAAATGCACAAACTTAGGGGTGCTAAGCACAAAATATGCACAACCCTAGGATGCTAAGCACAAAATATGCACAACCCCTAAGTTGCTAAGCACAAGCATGCAAAATCATAGTGTAAAGTACCTCAAACATTAAATTGAACAATGCCCAATATCAATCATTCAAACCACATACAAGAAAACTACATGGTAGAGTTTAGGGTTTCACTACACCCAAGTGGGAGGAGGACTACTCCATGGAAAAAGTGGGAAGAACAAAGGAGATAAAGGTGGAAACCATCTTTTGGGGATGCCTCCTCTCTTCTTCAACCTTGAGCTGGGATTACCTTGGGGAAATCTTCCCAAAACCTCCTTTGAAGCCAAGCCCTAACCTCTTCTTCTCTCTTGGTTCTGTTTCTCTCACTAAAATGCAGAGGAAGTGTTTCTCTCATTAAAGTGGCTCCCCTCTCTCTTTCCTTGCAGCTCAGATTTTAAAAACGAGAGGGCTGAGTTCACGGCCGTGAACTCTCAAACGCGTCCGTGAACTCATGCCTTGTGCCAAAACGCTCCGCATCGATCACAAAAGTTCACGGGA